AAACGGGGGATTTTGGGGGTGCGGGGAGCGGGGAGGGGGCTCGGCCGCTCCCGGGGGGAAAAGCGGCGCTTTGGGGTGAAATTGGGGGGTTTGGGGGCTTAGAGGAGGGGGCTCGGCTGGTCCCGGACCCCACAGCGTGTCCCGGCGGGGTTTGGGGTGAAATGCCGGGATTTGAGGAGAATGCCGGGATTTGGGGTGAAACGCCGGGATTTGGGGTGTTTCGGGGTGAAATTCGGGGGTTTTGGGGCTCTGGGAGGGGGCTCAGCTCGTCCTGCAGCCCTCACCACACGTCTCGGGGGAAAAGCGGCGATTTGGGGTGAAATTCTGGGATTTTGGGGTCTGGGGGCTTGGGGGAAAACGGGCTCAGCTCGTCCTGGAGCCCCCACCCCGCCCCGGCGGTGGTTTGGGGTGAAACGCTGGGATTTGGGGCGTTTTGGGGTGAAATTCTGGGGTTTTGGGGCTCTGGGGGGGGCTCAGCCCCGTCTGCACCTCCCGCCCCATGTCTCGGGGGGAAAAGCGGGGATTTGGGGTGAAAATCTGGGATTTTGGGGTGAAAATCTGGGATTTTGGGGCTCTGGGGCTCAGGGGAAGGGATTTAGATCAGGGTGGAGCTCCTGCCCCATCCCTGCAGCGCTTTGGGGTGAAATTCTGGGATTTTGGGGGTCTGGGGGATCTGGGAGGGCGCTCAGCTCGTCCTGGAGCCCTCACCCCATTCCTGGGGGGGAATTTGGGATAAAACTCTGGGATTTTGGGAATTCTGGGGGGGCTCAGCCCAGCCCGGGACCTCCCACCCCGTCCTTGCAGCGTTTTGGGATAAAATTCTGTGATTTTGGGAATGGGGAGGGCTCAGCCCATCCCACACTTCCATAAATCCCTCAGGGGAGCAGCGTTTTGGGATAAAACCCCCGGATTTGGGGAGTGGGGTGGGAATATCCCAAACCTTTCTGGTTTTTGGGAGATTTCCAGTATCCGCCGCTGGGAATTGGCTTTTTCCCAGTTTGCTTTGCTCCATTTTAAACCAAATTTGGGGATTTTTTTTTTTTTGCGGGATAAACCCTTGGAAAACCCTGGAGGTTTTTCTGGGATAAATTCAGGAATTTAGCTGAGGATTCCTGGACTGGGATCCCTGCTCCAGCCACGGCATTTCCCACGTGAATTTGGGTGGAAAATGAGGAATTTGGGGCCCTGGGAGTGAAGCAGATCCCGGGAATTTCGGGGGTCATTTTCCCACCAAATTCCCAGGGTTTTTTTCCCTGCTTTTTCCATCCCAAAGAATTCCAGGATTCCCTGCCCTGGATTATTTGGGATTCCAGGGATCAGCCCTGGCTCCTATCCCAGGTTATTCCATGGATCCCTGGGATGGTGGGAACGTCCCTGGGATTGGAATTCGGGTGGGATTTTTTGGGGGATTTAAGGATCTTTTCCATCCCAAAGAATTCCAGGATTCCCTGGGCTGGTTGGTTTGGGATTTCCGGGGTAAATCCTGGATTTTATCCCAGGTTATTCCATGGATTTCCATCCCTGGAAGTGCCCGGTTCCATCCCGGCTCCCCCGGGCACAGGGAGAGGTTTCCCTCCCTCAGCCCCGGGCTTTTGGGATCGCTCCCAGCCCCAGAATTCCGAGGATTCCCGTGCCAGGGAAAGGGAAAAGGATCCCCCCGGGCCAGGGAATTCCAGGATCCCGAATTCCCGGCCAAACCAGCTCTGCCACTTCCCACTTTTCCAGGAGTGGCTCCCGTTAATCATTACCCTGCCGGGAGCCCTTGGAGCAGCTTCCTGGAGAATTCCCGTGGAGAATTCCCGAAAAAACCCCAGCAAAAGCCAGGGAAAATTCCCACTTCCCAACGTTTGGGATCGCTCCGGGCGGTGTCGTCCCGTTGGGATCCCTTCCCATCTCTTCCCAAAAAATAAGGGGTTGGGATTCCCAGCTGGAAAATCCCACGGAAACCCGGGATACACCACGTTTAAAGCAGGAAAATGGGGAAAAAAATCCCTTTTCCCAACATTTCTGGGCCCTGAGTTCCTTCCCACACTGGGATTGGAATTCCCAGCTGGAAAATCCCACAGAAACCCAGGATAAACCACGTTTAAAGCAGGAAAATGGGGGAAAAAAATCCCTTTTCCCAACATTTCTGGCCCCTGAGTTCCTTCCGGTCTCTTCCCGCACTGGAACTGGAATTCCCAGCTGGAAAATCCCACAGAAACCCAGGATAAACCACATTTAAAGCAGGAAAATGGGGAAAAATCCCCTTTCCCAACATTTCTGACCCCTGGGTTCCTTCCCAGCAGGAAAATGGGGAAAAAAATCCCTTTTCCCAACATTTCTGACCCCTGCGTTCCTTCCCACACTGGAATTGGAATTCCCAGCTGGAAAATCCCATGGAAACTCGGGATAAACCAGTTTAAAAAGTGGGAAAAATGGGAAGAATTCCCGTTTTCCTCGGGTGTCTCCGTGGTTTCCCTGGTGCTTTCCCAGGCAGGGCAGCGGAGCCGCAGCCCCCGGCAGGGAGGGAACCAAATGTTGCAAATCCGAGGAGAAATTCCGAACTCCCGGAATTCCTCCCAGGACTCGGAATGTGGGAAGAAAAAAAATTCCCCCGAGATTTTTTTTTTTTTTTTTTTCCCCCTGAGAGTTTTTGTTAATTTGGGAATCCAAGCCCGGAGTTCCCACGTTCCCGTTTTCCCCGAGGGCTTTGGGAATTCGGGGTTGTTCCCTTGAAAATTGGTGGGATTTTGGGAATCCTGGCTCCTCGAAGAGAGGAGATTCCCAGCGGGATCAGATCCCAAAAAAACCCGGGAATGACCGGCAGGGGTTGGGAACAGCTTGGAAGGGTTTGGGATGCAGGGAAAAGCTGGGAATTGTGGGATTATCCTGCAGCATTCCCAACAAAAACAACTGGGAATTTTATGGGAAGAACCCTGCAGCTCCCCCCAGCTGCCCTGGAATTCTGCTTTTCCTTGGAAAACCCCGGCGTGGAGGGGATTGAGTGGTCAGAAATGTTGGAAATGGGATTTTTTCCCATTTTTCCTGCTTTCAACCCTGGTTTATCCCAGGTTTCCATGGGATTTTCCAGCTGGGAATTCCAAACCTGTTGTGGGAAGGAACCCAGAGGTCAGGAATGTTGGGAAAAGGGAATTTTTTTCCCATTCCAAGCTCCAGTCTTTTGGGAATTTCGGATTTTTGGGAGCTGGGAAGGGAGGGCAGGGCTGGGGTCCCTCTGGAGACGCCTCTGGAATGGGAATTGTGGGAATTGTTGGAATTGCCGTGGCTGGGCCGCCCCCAGGCAATTAAGGAGCTTTAATTAAGCCGAATTAAACGACTTTTTTATAGCCTGGCTAAGCCCCGGCTGCTTCCCGAGGGGCAGGAAAAGCCTCTGGATCCCCTTGGATCCCCCTGGCTGACCTGGGCATTCCTGGATTGTGGCTTTTGAGGGAAATCATCTCGGGAATGCCACGGGTCCCGCAATTCGGGGATTTTTGGGGAAAAAAGGGATTTTGGGTGGATAACAAGGGCTGACCCGGGCTTGGCCCTGGATAATCCCGAGGGTTAATCCTGGTTTTCCGTGGATTGGCCGGGAACGTCCAGGGCAGCGCCCAGCTCTGGGCTCTGTGTGGAAAAGGGGCTGGGAAATCCTCAGGGATTTTTCCTGGGATTTCTGCCTTGGTGGGGGCTGATCCCGGAGAAAAGGGGGGTCCGGGGGGGTTTGGGATCTGCCAGGGAGGTTTGGGATCTTCCATGGGGAGTTTGGGATCTGCCAGGGAGGTTTGGGATCTGCCAGGAGGGGTTGGGATCTGCCAGGGGGGATTTGGGATCTGATCCCAGGGAATGGGGCAGGACAAGTGGGAACGGCCTCGAGCTGTGCCAGGGTGGGAAATTTGGGATGATTTTTCCATGAATCATCTGAGCTGTGCTGGCAGTGACCAGTGGCCATCCCCCCTGTCCGGGGGTGACCGGGGCTCATCCCGGCCGTTCCCAGTTCCCGAGCTCCCGTTCCCCCCCAGGTTGAGCGGCCTCTCCTCGTCCCTGGGCGAGTCCCCCTCGGAGCGCGGGTCCCCCGGGCACCGCCGGCAGCCCTCGGACGCCTCGGAGTCCACAGGTGGGGATTTCCCTGGGGAGTTCCGGAGTTTGGGCACTCAGCGGGCACTCAGGGCTGGGGGCGCGGGCCCAGATCTTCCCACACTCTTGGAACGTTGGGATTTGGGATTTGGGGTCCCACAAGGGGGAATTTGGGGCTGGGGAGTCCGGGGTGGCCACGGGAGTGGTGGCCCAGGCTGGGCAGTGACCCCGAGGTCAGGGGTGGCCACGGGAGTGGTGGCCCAGGCTGGGCAGTGACCATGGGGTCAGGGTGGCCACGGGAGTGGTGGTCAGGGGTGGACAGTGACCATGGGGTCAGGGTGGCCACGGGAGTGGTGGCCCAGGCTGGGCAGTGACCCCGAGGCCCTGCAGGCCCTGGGACCGGGGCTTCCTCAGGGCCAAAGCCACACTGCAGAGCCTCATTGCCTCCTCCTGCTCCTGTCCCTGTGTCCGTGTGTCCCTGTGTCCGTGTGTCCCTGTGTCCCCTGTGTGTCCCTGTGTCCCATGTCCCCTGTGTGTCCCTGTGTCCCTGTGTGTCCGTGTGTCCCCTGTGTGTCCGTCTGTCCTCTCTCTGTCTGTGTGTCCCTGTGTCCCCTGTGTATCCCTGTGTCCGTGTGTCCGTCTGTGGTGCCGCAGGGCTGGTGCAGCGCTGTGTCATCATCCAGCGGGACCAGCATGGCTTCGGCTTCACCGTCAGCGGCGACCGCGTGGTGCTCGTGCAGTCCGTGCGGCCCGGTGGGGACAGGGACAGGGGGACAGGGGGACAGGGTGGACACGGATGGACACAGGGTGGACACGGATGGACAATTCCCAGGGTCCCCTCTTCCATCCCCAGTCTCAGCCTGGGGCAGAAAATGGTGGAGAAAGATGGCAGGGAGTGTGGGGGCAGCGGGGCGTCCCTGGGGAAGCGCTCCCTGTCTGGGGGGTTGGCAGGGGCGGGGCCGAGGGGGTGGGGAAGGCCCTGTGGAACGTTCCAGAAGAAATCTGAGCTCTGCCCTGTCCCGTGTGCAGGTGGGGCTGCCATGAGGGCCGGCGTGCAGGAGGGTGACCGCATCCTCAAGGTGGGCACTCCCCTCCCACATTCCCGGGGAGATTCCTGGGGACATTCCCGTTTTCCCAGCCCTTTCCCAGCCCCCTCCCCACATTCCCGGGGACATTCCCGGGGACATTCCCGTTTTCCCAGCCCTTTCCCAGCCCCCTCCCCACATTCCCGGGGACATTCCCGGGGACATTCCCGTTTTCCCAGCCCTGCCCGCTGTTCCAGGTGAACGGGACGATGGTGACCAACAGCTCCCACCTGGAGGTGGTGAAGTTGATCAAGTGTGAGTTTTGCCTTCAATTCCTGGGAATTCTGCTCCCATTCCGTGGGAATTCGGCGGCGCTGGGGGAGGGGGAGGACGTTTTCCATCCCTCGGGAATTCGGGGCCAGCCCGGAAGTGTTTCCAGCCCTTTTTCCCACGTTTTTCCAGGAAATCCTTCCCACCCCTCATCCCACATTCTCCCTGGAAATGCTTCCCACTCCCAGTTCTCCTGGAAATTTTTCCTGGAAATTTTTCCTTGGAAATCCTTCTCACCTCTTCTCCCAAGTTTTTCCTGGGAATCCTTCTCACCCCCTTATCCCAGATATTCCCTGGAAATCCTTTTCCCCCCGTTCCTGGAAATCCTCCTGGCTCCTTTTTCCCAGTAGTTTTTTGGAATCCCCCTCATCACCCCACGTTTTCCCAGGAATCCTTCCCGCTCCCATTCCTCCTGGAATTATTCCCTTGTGGATTTTCCCCGCCGGCCCCCCAGCCCCCCTCGATCCCAGACCTTTCCCGGAGCTCCCGCTGACGTTCCCGTGTCCCGTTCTGTTCCCAGCCGGTGCCTACGTGGCCCTGACCCTGCTGGGGTCCCCCCCCGGCTCCGTGGGGGTTCCGGGGTCCCAGCAGGAGCCGGAGCCCGCGGGGTGTCCCCAGGGGCCCCCCCAGCGCATCACGGAGCCCAGGCCCCTGCAGGTGAGCCGCAGGTCCAGGGGAGCCCGAATTCCAGGGGGAGCCCGGAATTCCAGGGGGAGCCCGGAATTGCAGGGGGATCCCAGAATTCCAGGGGGAGCCCGGAGTTCCAGGGGGATCCCGGAATTGCAGGGGGATCCCAGAATTCCAGGGGGAGCCCGGAGTTCCAGGGGGAGCCCGGAATTCCAGGGGGATCCCCGAATTCCAGGGGGAGCCCGGAATTCCAGGGGGAGCCCCGAATTCCCTCAAGTGACCCCAGAACTCCCCCAGGAGATCCCAGAATTGCCTGAGGGGATCCCAACCCCTCGTACCCACTCCCATTGCCATCCCATCCCGTGATTCCCATGAATTCCACTGTTCCCCCCATTCCCATTAACCCACCAATCCCATTCCCATTATCCCATTATTCCCATTATTCCCACTGCTATTCCCACTGTCATTGCCATTATTCCCACTGTCATTCCTGTTGTTATTCCTGTTGTTATTCCCGTTGTTATTCCCACTGTCATTGCCATTATTCCTGCTGCCATTCCCACTGTCATTCCCGTTACTCCCACTGTTATTCCCGTTATTCCCGCTGCTGTTCCCGCTGCCATTCCCGCTCTCATTCCCGCTCTCATTCCCGCTCTCATTCCCGCTCTCATTCCCGCTCTCATTCCCGCTCTCATTCCCGCTCTCATTCCCGCTCTCATTCCCGCTCTCATTCCCGCTCTCATTCCCGCTCTCATTCCCGCTCTCATTCCCGCTCTCATTCCCGCTCTCATTCCCGCTCTCATTCCCGCTCTCATTCCCGCTCTCATTCCCACTGCCATTCCCATTATTCCCGTTATTCCCGCTGCTGTTCCCGCTGCCATTCCCGCTCTCATTCCCGCTCTCATTCCCACTGCCATTCCCATTATTCCCGTTATTCCCGCTGCTGTTCCCGCTGCCATTCCCGCTCATTGCCATTATTCCTGCTGCCATTCCCACTGTCATTCCCGTTACTCCCACTGTTATTCCCGTTATTCCCGCTGCCATTCCCACTGCCATTCCCGCTGCCATTCCTGCTGCCATTCCCGTTATTCCCACTGCCATTCCTGTTATTCCCATTATTCCCATTATTCCCACTGTCATTCCCACTGCCGTTCCCCCTGTCATTCCTGTAATTCCCGCTGCCATTCCCATTTTATTCCCACTGTCATTGCCATTATTCCTGCTGCCATTCCCACTGTCATTCCCGTTACTTCCACTGTTATTCCCATTATTCCCGCTGTCATTCCCACTGCCATTCCTGCTGCCATTCCCGTTATTCCTAATGCCATTCCTGCTGCCATTCCCGCTGCCATTCCCATTATTCCCGTTATTCCCACTGCCGTTCCCGCTGCCATTCCCGTCATTCCCGCCGTTATTCCCGCTGCCATTCCCGTCATTCCCGCCGTCATTCCCGCCGTTATTCCCGCCGTTATTCCCGCTCTCACGCGGCCGTGCCCGCAGGACCCCGAGGTGCAGAAGCACGCGGCGCAGATCCTGCGCAACATGCTGCGCCAGGAGGAGGCCGAGCTCCAGGTGCTGCCCTTCCTCCTCTCCCGCTTTCCTGGGGGGATTTCTGGGAATTTCTGGGATTTTCTGAGGGGTTTTTTTGGGGGTTTGTGATTTTCATGGGATTATTTCAGGGGGGAGATTTTCTGGGATTTTTTTTTATTATTTTTCCTGGGTGTTTCCTGGGTGTTTTCCCGGGCTGTCCCTGGGAACGCTGTGGGAATTCTGTCCCTGTCAGTCCCAGCATTTCCATGAAAAACCCCGGAAAACCCCAGTGGCATGTGGGGGGATTTTCCTGAGTTGGGTTTTTTTTTTTTTATTATTTATTTTCTGGAATTTTCTGAGATTTTTTTTAAAATTATTTTTTCTGGGTGTTTTCCTGGGAACGCTGTGGGAATTCCCTCTCCCTCCCAGCGTTTCCATGAAAAATCCTGGAAAACCCCAGACAGATCAGTGGCATGTTTGGGGATTTTCCTGAGATTTTTTTTTATTATTTTCTGGAATTTTTAAAAAAAATTTTCTGGTGTTCCCTGGCTCTTCCCGGGGTATTTCCCGGCTGTTTCCTGGCTGCTTCCTGGGTGTTTACTGGGTGTTTCCTGGGTTTTTCCCGGCTGTTTCCTGGGTATTTTCTGGGTGTTTCCCGGCTGTTTGTTTCCTGGGTATTTCCTGGCTGTTTCCCGTGTGTTCCCTGGGTGTTTCCTGGATATTTCCTGGATATTTCCTGGGTATTTCCCAGCTGTTCCCCGGCTGTTTCCTGGATATTTCCTGGATATTTCCCGGGGATTTCCTGGATATTTCCCGGGGATTTCCTGGATATTTCCCGGGTATTTCCTGGGTATTTCCCGGCTGTTTCCGGGCTGTCTCCCGGCTGTCTCCCGGGGTGGCTGAGGGGTCCCCTCTGTCCCAGCGCTTCCAGGAGCTGCTGCAGCGGCAGCCGGGCGCGGCGCTGGAGGAGCAGCTGCAGGGGGCGCGGCGCCGGCTCAGCCAGCTGCAGCTCAAGGTGCTGCAGGAGGCGCGCGGAGCGGTACGGAAACGACACGGGAACGACACGGGAACGACACGGGAGTGACACGGGAATGACATGGGAATGACATGGGAATGACACGGGAATGACACGGGAATGACATGGGAATGGGCTGGGAACGGGCCGGGAATGGTCACGGGAATGACACGGGAATGGGCTGGGAATGGATGTGGGAATGACACGGGAATGGGTGTGGGAATGGGCTGGGAATGGATGTGGGAGTGGGCTGGGAATAATGACGGGAGTGGGCCAGGAATAACGCAGGAATGGGCCAATGACACGGGAATGACACGGGAACGACACGGGAGTGACACGGGAATGACATGGGAATGACACGGGAATGACACGGGAGTGACACGGGAATGACACGGGAATGACACGGGAATGGGCTGGGAATGGATCTGGGAGTGGGCTGGGAATAATCACGGGAATGGGCCAGGAATAAAGCAGGAATGGGCCGGGAATAATCGTGGGAATGGTCACGGAAATGACACGGGAATGGGCCAGGAATGGATCTGGCAATGGATGTGGGAATGGGCCAGGAATGGGCTGGGAATAATCATGGGAAAGGGTCGGGAATAACGCGGGAATGGGTGTGGGAATGGGCCGGGAATGGATCTGGGAATGATCCCTGGAATTCCAGGAATCATCCCAGGAATAATCCCGGGATCGCCCCCGAGCCCTTCCCAGTTCTTTCCGAGCTCTGGGAATTCTGCTTTTCCCAAAAAATAAAACTGGGGATGGAGGAGCTCGGTGGGAATTGGGGTGAAGGTGGGAATTCCCTCATTCCTGGATTTCTGGGATCCCTTTTCCCATTTCTGCCTTTCCTGGGAATTCCCTGCCCCGGGAGTTCCCCTTTCCCTGATCCGTGTCCCCTTTCCCAGGATTTGGGCTCCCTGGAAGGGGAGGCTCTGCGGGGCTCCCCGCAGCTCCCGGGGCGATTCCCCAGGGATGCCCAGGATGGGGACCCGGGGCTGGAGTCCGCAGAGGTGAGGGAAAAATCCGGGAAAAATCGGGAAAAGTCTGGGAGAAATTCGGGAAAAATACGGGAAAAGGGTGGGGAGGAGTTCAGGAAAATCCGGGAAAAGAGGGGGGAAACTGCAGGGAAAACCTGGGAAGAGAGGGTGAAAGTTCCAGGAAAGGTTTGGGGAAAAGGGGGAGAAATTCCAGGAAAAGTTTGGGAAAAGCCTGGGGGGGAAATTCCAGGGAGAAGGTGGGGGGGGAAATTGAGGGGAAAGCAAGGGGAAAAGGGCGGAAATTCAGGAAAAAGGGGGGGAAATAATTCCAGGAAAAATCTGGGGAAAGGGGATGAAAATTCTGGGAAAAACGGGGGGAATTCCAGGGAAAGTTTGGTAAAAGGGGGGGAAATTCCAGGAGAGGGAAAAGCTCCCCCATAATTTGGGATCCCCTGGAATTCCCAGCTCTTTTTCCCTGGGAATTCCAAGGGATTTTGGGATCCCCGCCTCCCCTGGGGGGGGTTTTGGGGATGCTGATCCCGAAATTCCCGTTCCCAGGTGTCCCGGAATTCCGGCTTTTCCGAGCCCAGCAGCCCCCGCAGCTCCCCCGTGCTCGGCTCCCGCCTCTCCACGGATCCGGTGGGGCTGGAAAATCCCGGAAAATCCCGGAAAATCCGGGAAAATCCCCACGGGGATCCCCCGCAGAGCCCTTCCCGGAGCTTGATCCCGGTTTTTTTTTTGGGATAGGGATCGGGGAGGCCGCAGATCATCGGGCCCGAGGAGGATTGTGAGCCCGGCAGCGGCAGCAACGAGGTGAGGATCCCGGCGGGAATGGGGATTTGGGAATTCCTGGGGGGGGCTGGGGATGCCAGGGGGGATTTGGGGGGATTTTTGGGATCCTGGCGCTTCCCACTTCTCCCTCTCTCTGTTCCCAGAGCGATTCCGTGTTCCAGGATTTGGGAATTCTCAAATCCCGCCCGGCCCATTTGGGAGTTTTCCTGAGGTTCCTCTTCTCCCAGGCTGATCCCACTCCCCTGGTAAGGAATTCCCGAAATTCCCGGGATTTTCTGACCCCTGGGATCCCATTCCCAACCTCTGGCGCCTCCCAGAGCATTCCAAGATCATGGATGGAGCAGAATTCCCAGGATGTCCTCAAATTTTCCTGGGATTTTCTGCTCTTGGGGGGCTGGGGATGCAGGGGGGGTTTTGGGGGGGATTTTTGGGATCCTGGCGCTTCCCACTTCTCCCTCTCTCTGTTCCCAGAGCGATTCCGTGTTCCAGGATTTGGGAATTCTCAAATCCCGCCCGGCCCATTTGGGAGTTTTCCTGAGGTTCCTCTTCTCCCAGGCTGATCCCACTCCCCTGGTAAGGAATTCCCGAAATTCCCGGGATTTTCTGACCCCTGGGATCCCATTCCCAACCTCTGGCACCTCCCAGAGCATTCCAAGATCATGGATGGAGCAGAATTCCCAGGATGTCCTCAAATTTTCCTGGGATTTTCTGCTCTTGGGATCCCATTCTCAACCTCTGGCACCTCCCGGCGATTCCAGGAATATTCCTGGGAGCAGAAATTCTGGGATTTCCTCAAAATTCCCAGATTTTCTGACCCTCGGGATCCTATTCCCAACTTCCGGCGCCTCCCAGAGCATTCCAGGAATATTCCTGGGCCTAAAAACTGAGCAGGAATTCTGGGATTTCCTCCTTGGATCCCATTCCCAACCCATGGCACCTCCCCGGGTGTAGGGTGGGGATGGAGCAGAATTCCCGGGATTTCCTCAAAAATTCCCAACATTTCCTCAACATTCATGGAATTTTCCGACCCTTGGGATCACATTCCCAACTTCTGGCACCTCCCAGAGCCTTCCCAGAGCTTCCAAGGATATTCCTGGGAATAAATCCCCAGATTTCCTCCTCCCTGGGGTCCCATTCCCAGCCCCGGGGCGTTCCCAGGAGCAGAATTCCCGGGATTTCCTGGCATTCCTGGGATTTCCTCGGCATTCCCGGGATTTCCTCGGCATTCCCGGGATTTCCTCGGCTTTCCCGCAGCTCTTCCACCACTTCTGGCACCTCCCAGAGCCTTCCCAGAGCTTCCAAGGATATTCCTGGGAATAAATCCCCAGATTTCCTCCTCCCTGGGGTCCCATTCCCAGCCCCGGGGCGTTCCCAGGAGCAGAATTCCCGGGATTTCCTCGGCATTCCCGGGATTTCCTCGGCATTCCCGGGATTTCCTCGGCTTTCCCGCAGCTCTTCCACCTGTGCTGCGAGGTTTGCTGCCAGCAGAGCCCCCGGGAGAGCCGGGCCCTGGGCAGGGACATCTGGAACATCTTCCTGGACAGGGCGGCGGTGAGCGCCGGCATTCGGGGATTCCCGGGATTCAGGGGAATTCCCAAGGTTTTGGGGGGATTCCAGGGGTTTGGGGGGGATTTAAAGGGATTTCGGGAGGATTTTCCAGGATTTAGAGAGGATTTTCTAGGATTTTCAAGAATTTTGGGATGATATTCTGGAGTCTGGGGAGGATTTCCTGCTATGCTGGAGAATTTTCAGGAATTTAACGAGGATTTTCAGGAATTTGGGGAGGATTTCCCAGGATTTTGGGATGGGTTTTGGGATGGATTTCCCAGGATTTTGGGATGGGTTTTGGGATGGATTTCCCAGGATTTTGGGAGATTTTGGGATGGATTTCCCAGGATTTTGGGAGATTTTTGGGATGGATTTCCTGGATTTTGGGATGCTTTTCCCTCCTTTCCAGCCCCTGCGGGTGAAGCTGCCGGAGCAGCTCCTGGCCGAGATCGGTGAGTTCAGAATTCCGGGAATTTCCCCCTGGAAAAGGAGCCCAGGGCCGGGATTGGGAATTCCCAAACTTTTCCCAGAGCCCCAGGAAAGTTGGGAATCAGCTCTGCAGTGAGAGGAGCCCCCGGAGCATTCCCAAATTCCCAAATTTCCCCATTCCCAGAGCTGCGCCTGCGGAACGGCGACGAGCTGCGGCCGGCGCTGCTGGAGGCGCAGGAATTCCTGATCCCAGAAATCCAGGAGCAGCTCCAGGACTACAGGTGGGACCCCCCAAATCCTAGAAAAATCCCGGAAAAATCCCGGAAAAATCCCCAGCTTTGGGAATTCCAGGAGCTCCCCCATCCCTCTTCAGGGCAGAACCTCAGGAAAACCCCGGATTTTGGGAGTTGTTGGACCTCCCAGTCCCGTTTTTTTTGCTTTTTCCCACCAGAACCTGGGGAAAATCCCAAATTTTGGGAATTTCAGGAGCTCCCCGTCCTGGTTTTTTTGTTTTTTCCCATGAAAACCTCAGGAGAATTGGGAATTTCAGGACCTCCTGATCCCGTTTTTTTGTAAATCCCAGATTTTGGGATTCTGGGAGTTCCCAATCCTGTTATTTTTTTTGTTTTCCCGCAGAACCAAGCGGAAAATCCCAAATTTGGGGAATTTCGGGTCTTTCTGGGCGCTCCAAATCCCATTTTTTTTACCTTTTCCCGGAGAGCCAAGCGGGACATCCTGATTTCGGGAATGTTGGGAATCCCGGGCCCCAATCCCGTTGTTTTTACCTTTTCCCGGAGAGCCAAGCAGGATTTCGGGAATGCCGGGAATCCCGGGCCCCAATCCCGTTGGTTTTTACCTTTTCCCGGAGAGCCAAGCAGGATTTCGGGAATGCCGGGAATCCCGGGCCCCAATCCCCTGTTTCCCCAGGATGACCGGAGAGCCAAGCAGGATTTCGTTTCGGGAATGCCGGGAATCCCGGGCCCCAATCCCGTTGGTTTTTACCTTTTCCCGGAGAGCCAAGCAGGATTTCGGGAATGCCGGGAATCCCGGGCCCCAAATCCCGTTGTTTTTACCTTTTCCCGGAGAGCCAAGCAGGATTTCGGGAATGCCGGGAATCCCGGGCCCCAATCCCGTTGGTTTTTACCTTTTCCCGGAGAGCCAAGCAGGATTTCGGGAATGCCGGGAATCCCGGGCCCCAATCCCCTGTCCCCCCAGGACGAAGCGCACGCTGGGGCTGGGCAGCCTCTACGGGGAGAACGAGCTGCAGGAGCTGGAGCCGGGCAGCGGCGCCCGGGAGCCGCGGGAGCGCCGGGAGCGGGAGCGGGCGCTGGCAGAGAGGCAGCTGGGGCACCTCGATTCCTGATGGGATTGCTGGGATGGGCACCTCGGGGACATCCTGTGAGCTTTGGGAATGGGGATTCCTGTGGGAATTCCTGTGGGATCGCTGGGATGGGAGGCAGCTGGGGCACCTCGGCGACATCCTGTGAGGATTGGGAATTCCTCTGGGAATTCCTGTGGGAATTCCTGTGGGATCGCTGGGAATTCCTGATGGGATTGCTGGGATGGGCACCTCGGGGACATCCTGTGAGCTTTGGGAATGGGGATTCCTGTGGGAATTCCTGTGGGATCGCTGGGATGGGAGGCAGCTGGGGCACCTCGGCGACATCCTGTGAGGATTGGGAATTCCTCTGGGAATTCCTGTGGGAATTCCTGTGGGATCGCTGGGAATTCCTGATGGGATTGCTGGGATGGGCACCTCGGGGACATCCTGTGAGCTTTGGGGATTGGGAATTCCTCTGGGAATTCCCTTGGGATCGTTGGGATGGGAGGCAGCTGGGGCACCTCGGCGACATCCTGTGAGCAATGGGGATTGGGAATTCCTCTGGGAATTCCTGTGGGATCGCTGGGAATTCCCCTGGGATGGGCACCTCGGGGACATCCTGTGAGAGCTGGGATATGGGAATTACCCTGGGAATTCCTGTGGGATCGTTGGGATGGGAGGCAGCTGGGGCACCTCGGCGACATCCTGTGAGGATTGGGGAATGGGAATTACCCTGGGAATTCCTGTGGGATCGTTGGGATGGGAGGCAGCTGGGGCACCTCGGCGACATCCTGTGAGGATTGGGGAATGGGAATTACCCTGGGAATTCCTGTGGGATCGTTGGGATGGGAGGCAGCTGGGGCACCTCGGCGACATCCTGTGAGGATTGGGGAATGGGAATTACCCTGGGAATTCCTGTGGGATCGTTGGGATGGGAGGCAGCTGGGGCACCTCGGGGACATCCTGTGAGCAATGGGGATCACTGGGAATTCCCATGGGATTGTTGGGATGGACACCTCAGGAACGTCCTGTGAGGAGGGGATTGGGAATTCCCATGGGATCTTTGGGAATTCCTGATGGGATCATTGAGAATTCCCATGGGATCGTTGGGAATTCCCATAGGATCTTTGGGAATTCCTGTTGGGATCTTTGGGAATTCCCATGGGGTCGTTGGGAATTCCTGTGGGATCTTTGGGAATTCTTATGGGATCGTTGGGATCGGCACCTCAAGGACATCCTGTGAGAGCTGGGACTGGGAATTCCTGGTGGGATTCGGGAATTCCTGATGGCATTGTGGGGCTGCAGTGGGAGTTTTGGGACTGGGAATGGGAATTTTGGGACTGGGAATGGGAATTTTGGGACTGGGAATGGAAGACTCCAAGGAATTCCTTTTCCCGCAGCTCCAAGTACGAGGAGGAGCGGAGGTGAGCGGATCCAGCGGGGAAAAAATCCAGGAATTTGGGCCATTCCCGACTTTCCCTGTGGAATCCTCCCCTGGAATTCCCAGTTTTCCCTCTTCCCCCTCTCCCAGCGGATCCGGGGATGCCGGGAATCCCGGGAATTCTGCCCGTCCCACCTCTGGAATTCTCTTCCCCAGCTCTCCCATGGCCTTCGCCCTCAGCACCTTCATGGCCCACGCCGGGATCCGGCCCCGGGAATTCCGGGAATCCCGGGAATCCCGAAACCCCGGAGCCCCCGAGAAGCTCCCGGACAAGGACAAGTGGCTGCCCTTCTTCCCCAAGGCCAAGAAGGTGGGAATTGCCGGGAATTCCCAGGAATTCCCGGGAGGAGATCCCAGGGGTCCAACCTGGGGGTTTTGGGGGGAATCCTGGGCATTTTCACCCAAATCCTGGGAATTTTAGACGTGAATTCCAGGATTTTTTGACCCAAATCTTGGGATTTGGGGTGGGAATTTGGGATTTGGGGTGGGAATTTGGGATTTGGGGTGGGGATTTGGAATTTGGGACGGAAATTCGGGATTTGGGATGGGGATTTAGGATTTGAGATGGGGATTTAGGATTTAGGGTGGAAATTTGGGATGGGAATTTGGGATTTAGGATGGGACCTGGGAATTCGGGATGGGATTTTGGGCTTTGGGCTGGGGAATTCCCGGGATTCCGAGCGATTCCAGGATTTTTTCCCAACAGAGCAGCAGCTCCAGGAAGGAGAAGGAGCAGAGGCAGAACCCGATCCTGAAATACATCGGGAAACCCCGGAGCTCCTCCCAGAGCAGTGAGTGACCCCGGAATTCCGAAATCTGGGAATGCCTGCGGATCCCGGGAATTCCTGGGCATTTTACAGGGATTGTCTTCAGAATTTTTCTGGAATTTTCCAGGGGTTTCCCATCCATTTCCTGGGATTTTCTTGGGATTTCCCCTGGAATTCCCAGATCCCGGCCTCATTCCCGCGTTCCCATCCCGTTCTTTTCCGTTCTCATCCCATCAGCATTCCCGAATTCCCGGTTTTCCCCCGGGGTTTTGGGAATTTTGACATCTCCTCTTTGTTTTCCAGCATTTCATGTCCCCCTGTCCCCTGCGGAAGGTAAAAATTCCCAAATTTTTCGTTGCTTTTCCTTCATTTTTGAGTCATTTTTTTCCCCTTGGTTTTGGGGTTTATTCCCATTTTTTTCTTCGCTGGTGGAATTCCTGGAGGAACTCTGGGATTTGGGATTTGGCATTTAGGATCAGGGTTTGGGATTTAGGAATTTGGGGTTTAGGAGGGAAATTGGAGGTTTGGGATTTAGGAAGGGAAATTTGGGAATTGGGATCAGGTTTGGGATTTGGGATGGGAATTCGGGATTTTAGGATGGGAATTTTGGGGATTTAGGATCAAGAATTCAGGATTTGGGATGGGAATTTTGGGATTTAGGATCAGGAATTTTGAGATTTGGGATGGGAATTTTGGGATTTAAGATCAGGAATTTTGAGATTTGGGATGGGAATTTTGGGATTTAAGATCAGGAATTTTGAGATTTGGGATGGGAATTTTGGGATTTAAGATCAGGAATTTTGAGATTTGGGATGGGGAATTTGGGATTTGGGATGGGAAATTCAGGATTTAGAATCGGGAATTTCGGATTTGGGCTGGGAATTTTGGGATTTAGGATCAAAAATTCAGGGTTTAGGATGGGAATGTTGGGATTTAGGACAGGAATTCCGGGGTTTAGGACGGGAATTTTGGGATTTAGGATGGGAATTGTCTCTGAGGCCCCCCCAGCTCCCGGAATTCCGTGTTTTCCCAGCAGTGAAGCCGGGGAACGTCCGGACCATGATCCAGCACTTTGAGAACAGCCACGGGGAGCCCCCGGAGCCGGGCCAGCAGCGCCTGTCCACGGGCAGCATCCCCGAGGAGCTGCTGGAGCCCGACAGGTGGGGCCGGGATTTGTTCCCGCAAATCCCAGGATTTTTGCCCAGAATTCCCATTTTTCCCCTCGGAATTCCCTGTTCCCAGCGGCTCCCGGTGCGAGGTGCGCCTGATCCCGGCGTTTCCCTCTAAACCCCAGGATTTCTCCTTTAATTCTGGGGATTTCTCCTTTAATTCCGGGGATTTCTCCTTTAATTCTGGGGATTTTTTGCCGTGAATCCCAGGATTTTTGCCCAGAATTCCCATTTTTTCCCCCATCCCCAGCAGCTCCCGCTGTGAGGTGCGCCCGATCCCGGCGTTTCCCTCTAAACCCCAGGATTTCCCTCATACATCCTGGGATTTTTTTGCTGCAATTCCTGGGGATTTTTGTTGCAATTCCCCGGGATTTTTCACCATGAATCTGAGGATTTTTGCCCAGAATTCCCATTTTTCCCCTGGAACTCCCAGCTCCTGCTGCGAGGTGCACCTGATCCCGGCGTTTCCCTCTAAACCTCATGATTTCTCCTGTAATTCCTGGGATTTTTGCCATGATTCCTGGGGATTTTTTGCCGTAATTCCCAGGGATTTTTCATCATGAATCCCAGGATTTTTGCCCAGCATTCCCATTTTTCCCCCGGCATTCCCAGCTCGCGCTGCGAGGTGCGCCTGATCCCTATGGGGCAATTCCCTGTGAACCCCAGGATTTCTCCTGTAATTCAGGGGATTTTTCCCCACGAATCCCAGGATTTTTGCCCAGAATTCCCAATGTTTCCCTTGGAATTCCCTGTTCCCAGCAGCTCCCGGTGCGAGGTGTGCCTGATCCCTATGAACCCCAGGATTTCTCCTGTAATTCAGGGGATTTTTGCCGTTATTCCCGGGGATTTTTCCCCGTGAATCCCGGGACTTTTGCCCAGCATTCCCGTTTCCCCCCGGCATTCCCAGCTCCCGCTGCGAGGTGCGCCTGATCCCTATGGGGCAATTCCCTGTGAACCCCAGGATTTCTCCTGTAATTCCGGGGATTTTTGCCGTAATTCCCGGGGATTTTTTGCCACAAATCCCAGGATTTTTGCCCAGCATTCCCATTTTCCCCCGGCATTCCCAGCAGCTCCCGCTGCGAGGTGCGCCTGGGCCGCTCGGAGTCGCTGAAGGGCCGGGAGGAGCTGCGGCGCTCACGGCGCTCGGAGCTGGTGCCGCGCTCGCGCAGCGACGTGGACATGGACACGGGCAGCGAGCCCGCCCGGCTGCACTCCGCCTCCTCCTCCGCCTCCAGCCTCTCCAACAGGTGGGAAATCCCGGAAATCCCGGAATTCCCGGAATTCCGGGCAGCCCAGCCCCAGGTTTTGGGGTGACGGGGCTCTCGGAGCAAACGCTGGGGAGGTGGAAACATCAGGATTGGGGAAATTTGGGGTTTTTTGGAAGGGCTTTGCACCTCCAGCCTCTCCAGCAGGTGGGAAATCCAAGAATTCCCGGAATTCCCGGAATTCCGGGCAGCCCAGCCCCAGGTTTTGGGGTGACGGGGCTCTGGGAGCAAACTCTGGGGAGGTGGGAGCGTGGGGATAGGGGGAATTTGGGATTTGGGGTTTTTTGGGAAGGGCTTTGCACCTCCAGCCTCTCCAGCAGGTGGGAAATCCAAGAAATCCCAGAATTCCCGGAATTCTGGAGGGTCCAGCCCCAGATTTTGGGGTGACGGGGGTTTGGGAGCAAACTCTGGCCAGGTGGGAGCATGGGGATGGAGGGATTTGGGGTTTTTTGGAAGGGCTTTGCACCTCCAGCCTCTCCAGCAGGTGGGAAATCCCAGAAATCATGGAATTCCCACAATTCCAGAGGGCCCAGCTCCAGGTTTTGGGGTTTGGGATGGAAGTCTGGGAAAGGAGGGGAAATTGGGATCGGGGGAAGTTTGGGATTTGGGGTTTTTGGGAGTGGGATTTAGGGGGCTGGAGGGAGGGGGTTTTATTCCTTCAGCTCCCAAATTTCTGCAGAATCCATGGAAAAATCCATGGAAAAATCCGTAGAACGTAACGGGTTTGGGGCTGAATCCCTGGATTTGAGGGTGAACTCGTCAAGATCGGGGAAAACTTGGGATTTTGGGACAGCCCAGGGGGATTTTTCCGTTCTTTTCCCAGATCCCTGGAAAACCCCACCCCCCCCTACACGCCAAAGATGGGGCGCAGGTGAGTGACCCCCCTGGAATTCCCATTCCCAGTTTTCCCCAGTTTTCCCTCTTTTTTCCCCATTTTTTCCCTGGATCAGGAATTTTGAGATTTGGGATGGGAATTTTGGGATTTAAGATCAGGAATTTTGAGATTTGGGATGGGGAATTTGGGATTTGGGATGGGAAATTCAGGATTTAGAATCGGGAATTTCGGATTTGGGCTGGGAATTTTGGGATTTAGGATCAAAAATTCAGGGTTTAGGATGGGAATGTTGGGATTTAGGACAGGAATTCCGGGGTTTAGGACGGGAATTTTGGGATTTAGGATCAAAAATTCAGGGTTTAGGATGGGAATGTTGGGATTTAGGACAGGAATTCCGGGGTTTAGGACGCTTCCAATGTTTTACAACCCACTCCATGAAGAAATTTTTTACTAATGTCTTGTCTAACCCTCCCCAAATTTCCCCCATTTTTCCCCCCAATTTTCGCCATTTTTCCCTCTTTTTTCCCCACTTTTTTCCTCATTCTTTCTCAGTTTTTCTCCCTTCTTTCCCCCTTTTTCCCTCCCAAATTTCCCCCAATTTTCCCCATTTCTCCCACTTTTTTTCTTATTCTTTCTCAACGTTTCCCCCCTTCTTTCCCCTTTTTTTGCCTCCCAATTTTCCCGTTTTCCCCCACTTTTTTCCTCATCCTTTCCCCATTTCCCCCCTTCTTTCCCCATTTTTCCCCCCAATTTTCCCCATTTTTTCCTCATCCTTTCCCCATTTCCCCCCTTCTTTCCCGGTTTTTCCCCTTCCCAGGAGCATGGATTCCCCCAGCCTGGGCCTGGGGCCCGACCCCTTCCTGCCCCACCTGCTGGAGGACGAGCAGGGCCCCGTGCCCGACCTGGAGCCGGAGCCCGACTCCCAGACGGCCCCGAATGCCCAGCAGAGCTGGCAGCAGAATTCCCAGAGCTGGCAGCACTCGGTGAGCCGGGAGCTGCTGGCCAGCCTGCCCCAGCGCGAGGTGGATCGCCAGGAGGTCATCAACGGTGGGCAGCGGCCGGGAATGCCGGGAATGCCGGGAATGCCGGGGGGCTGGGGCGGGGGGGGCTCTGGGGGGACGAACCCTGGGGTTTGGGGATCATTCTGGGGGTTTGGGGGATGAATCCTGGGGTTTGGGGCTCATTCCTGGGGTTTGGGGTCTCACTCCCAGGATTTGGGATCTCATTCCTGGGGTTTGGGGCTCATTCCTGGGGTTTGGGGTCTCACTCCCAGCCCTTTTCCAGGATTTGGGGTCTCGTTCCCTGTTCCTTGCTGGGTTTGGGGTCTCGCTCCCAGGATTTGGGATCTCATTCCTTGTCCCTTGATGGATTTGGGGTCTCACTTCTGCATTTGGGGTCTCACTCCCGAGATTCGGGATCTCATTCCTGTTTTTTCCCGGGATTTGGGGCTGGTTTTGGGGTGCTGGGGCTGGTTCTGGGTGTCGGGTTCTGCTCCGGGGGCTGCCTTGGGAATTGGATGTCCCCAGTCTGTCCCCAGTCTGTCCCCAATGTCCCCAACGTGTCCCCAATGTCCCCTGTGTGTCCCCAGAGCTGTTTGTCACCGAGCTGTCCCACCTGCGCATCCTGCGCGTTCTGGATTTGCTTTTCTTCCAACGCCTGCGCCGGGAGCAGCTCCTGAGCCGGGAGGAGCTGGGGCTGCTCTTCCCCAACCTGCCCGACCTCATCGACGTGCACAGTGAGACAGATCCCCAAATCCTGAAATCCCAGAAATCCCAAATTCCCAAATCCTGAAATCCCAAATCCCCAAATTCCCAAATCCTGACATCCCAAACTTCCTGACCCCTCTGCTTTCCCCAGATCCCACTGGGGTCCTGCTCTTCCCCAACCTGCCTGACCTCACTGATGTGCAGAGTGAGACAAATCTCTAGAATTCCCAAATTCCCAAAATCCCAAATTTACCTCCCTTTTTCCCCCTTTCCCCCTCCTTTTTTCCCCTTTCCCCCCTTTTCCTCCCCCTTTTCCTCCCCCTTTTTCCCCCATTTTTTCCCCCCTTTTTTTCCCCTTTTTCCCCCTTTTTCCTCCCTTTTTTCCCCTTTTCGCCCCTTTCCCCCCCCTGCCCTCTCCCCTCCCTGCATTCCCAGATTCCCTCTCGGAATCCATGAGGAAGCTGCGGGAGGAGCAGGGCCCCATCATCGGCGAGATCGGCGACCTGATGCTGGCCCGGGTAGGGAGCCCCCCCTCCCCGGAACCCCGGGAATGTTGGGAACCCCGGGAACTTCGGGAATCCCGGGAATGCTGGCAGTCCCGGGGGTCCCAAGCCCGTTTTCCCGGGGGTCCCAAGCCCGTTTTCCCGGGGTCCCAAGCCCGTTTTCCCGGGGGTCCCAAGCCCGTTTTCCCGGGGGTCCCAAGCCCGTTTTCCCGGGGTCCCAAGCCCGTTTTCCCGCTGGTCCCAGTTCGAGGGCGCTGCCAAGGAGGAGTTCCAGCGCGTGGCCGCCGCCTTCTGCTCCTCGCAGTCGGTGGCGCTGGAGCTGATCCGCACCAAGCAGCGCAAGGAGAGCCGCTTCCAGCTCTTCATGCAGGTCTGCGCTTCCCAGGGATCCTCCCGCGTTTCCCACCTTTCCTCGCCTTTGTCTGCGCCCTCTCTTTCCCTGTTCCCACCTGGTTTTTCCCTTTTTCTCCTTTATGTCGCCCGGCGGGGTCGGGAATTTCGGGATTTGGGGATTTCGGCGGTTTCGGGATTTTTGGGCTCGCTGAGGATTTTGGGATTCCTGGAACCAGTGGGGTCAGGAACTCTGGGATTTGGGGAACCAATGAGGGTCAGAAACTCCAGGGTTTTGGGATTTGGGGAAGCAGTGGGATCTGGAACTCCGGGATTTTGGGAGGCAGTGGGATCAGGAGCTCTGGGATTCTGGGAGGCAGAGAGATCAGGGGCTCCAGGATTTTAGGAAGCAGAGGGATCAGGAACTCCAGGATCTGGGGAGGCAGAGGGATCAGGAACTTTGGGATTTTGGGAGGCAGAGGATCAGGGACTCCAGGATTCCAGGAAGCAGAGGGAGCAGGAGCTCCAGGATTTTGGGAGGCAGGGGGATCAGGACCTTCAGGATTCTGGGAAGCAGTGAGATCAGGAACTTAGGGATTTTGGGAAGCAGTGGGATCAGGAGCTCCGGGATTCTGGGAAGCAGTGGGATCAGGAGCTCTGGGATTTTGGGAGGCAGGGGGATCAGGAGCTCCAGGATTTTGGGAAGCAGGGGGATCAGGAGCTCCGGGATTCCGGGAAGCAGAGGGATCAGGAGCTCCGGGATTCCGGGAAGCAGTGGGATCAGGAGCTCTGGGATTTTGGGAGGCAGGGGGATCAGGAGCTCCAGGATTTTGGGAAGCAGGGGGATCAGGAGCTCCGGGATTCCGGGAAGCAGAGGGATCAGGAGCTCCGGGATTCCGGGAAGCAGTGGGATCAGGAGCTGGTGATCTCAAGCTCCTGCGTTCCCAGGAGGCCGAGAGCAACCCGCAGTGCCGGCGGCTGCAGCTGAAGGATCTGCTGATCGCGGAGATGCAGCGCCTCACCAAGTACCCGCTGCTGCTGGACAACGTCATCAAGTGCACCCCGGGTAGGGACGGAGCGCCCCGTCCCAGGGTCTGTCCTGGGATTCCTCGTTCCCTTCGCCCTGGAGAGCCCCCACTTCCCCTGCCCTGCTTTCCCTGTCAGCCCCCTGCTTTTCCCTGGATTTTCGCCATTTTCCCCTGGATCTTTCCTTGGATTTCATCCCATTTTTCCCCGGATCTTTCAATGGATTTTTCCCGTTATCCCATGGGTTTCTCCCTGTTTCTCCCCGTTCCCAGCAGGCTCCCCGGAGCAGCAGAAGCTGCTGGGTGCCCTATCAATGATCTCAGTTCCATATTCCCCTGGATTTTCCCCTGGATTTTCCCCATTTCCCCCTGCATTTTCCCCATTTTTCCCGTTTCTCCCCATTCCCAGCGGGCTCCCCAGAGCAGCAGAAGCTGCTGGGTGCCCTATCAATGATCTCAGTTCCATATTCCCCTGGATTTTCCCCTGGATTTTCCCCATTTCCCCCTGCATTTTCCCCATTTTTCCCGTTTCGGAGCAGCAGAAGCTGCTGGGTGCCCTATCAATGATCTCAGTCCCATTTTCCCCTGGATTTTCCCCGTTTTTCCCCATTCCCAGCGGGCTCCCCGGAGCAGCAGAAGCTGCTGCGTGCCCGATCAATGATCTCAGTCCCATTTCTCCCTGGATTTTCCCCATTTCTCCCTGGATTTTCCCCATTTCTCCCTGTTTCTCCCCGTTCCCAGCGGGCTCCTCGGAGCAGCAGAAGCTGCTGCGTGCCCACGAGCAGAGCCGGGAGGTGCTGCGCGCGGTGAACGAGGCCGTGCGGCGCGCCGAGAACCGGCAGCGCCTGCGGGAGCACCAGCGGCGCCTGGACACCTCGGCGCTGGAGAGGACCAGCAACCCCCTGGCCGCGGAATTCCGGGTATTCCCGCTGCTCCGGGGCACGGGCCCTCCCCGCCTTCCCCTGGGGATCCCCGCGGTTTGTGGGGAGCCCCCGGTTTTCCATGGAAGTCCCCCATTTTTCCATGGGAATCCCTCGGTTTTCCTTGGAAGTCCCCATTGCTGCACCCTGGTTTTCCATGGGAACCCATGGGTTTGATGGGAATCTCCTGGTTTTCCATGGATATCCCCCAGTTTTCCATGGAAATCCCCCGTTTTTCCATGGGAATCCCTCGGTTTTCCTTGGAAGTCCCCATTGCTGCACCCCAGTTTTCCATGGGAATCCCCCATTTTTTCTGTGGAAATCCCATGATTTTCCTTGCAGAACGCCACTGTTGCTTTGTGTTCCCCGTAGATTTTGGGGTCTTTCCCATGAATTTTGGGCTGTTTCCCATGGATTTTGGGGTCTTTCCCATGAATTTTGGGCTGTTTCCCATGGATTTTGGGGTCTTTCCCATGAATTTTGGGCTGTTTCCCATGGATTTTGGGGTCTTTCCCATGAATTTTGGGCTGTTTCCCATGGATTTTGGGGTCTTTCCCATGAATTTTGGGCTGTTTCCCATGGATTTTGGGGTCTTTCCCATGAATTTTGGGCTGTTTCCCATGGATTTTGGGGCGTTTTCCCTGGGTTTTGGGGTGTTTCCATGGGTTTTGGTCCCACAGAACCTGGACCTGACCACACACCGGATGATCCACGAGGGACCCCTGACCTGGAGAGTGGGCAAGGACAAGAGTGTGGGTACGGACTGGGGGCAACTGGGCGGGACTGGGATCCAAAAATCCCCCCCAAAAAATACCCCAAAAACTGAAAAAAAACCCAAAAACCTAAAAAAATCCCCCCAAAAAATCACTAAAAATCCCCTAAAAATTAAAAAAGGTCGCCAAAATTTAAAAAATCCCCAAAAATCGAAAAAAAATTGGAAAAAATCCCCAAAAAATCGGAAAAAATCCCCCAAAATTCCCAAAAAAATCAGAAAAAATCCCCAAAAATTCCCCAACCCCCTGGAATTTTTCAGACCTGCACGTGCTGCTGCTGGAGGAGCTGCTGGTGCTGCTGCAGCGCCAGGACGAGCGCTGGCTGCTCAAGTGTCACAGCAAGGGTGGCCTGGGGGGGGCCCCGGACACCAAGCAGAGCTTCAGCCCCGTGCTCAAGCTCAGCTCGCTGCTGGTGCGCTCCGTGGCCACAGGTGGGCAGGGAAATCAGGGAATTCCGGGATGAAATGGGGGAAAAACGGGGATTTCTGGGGGTTTGTGGAAAAAAATGGGGGGTTTCTGTAAAAAAATGGGGTTTCTGTGTAAAAAAATGGGGGTTTTGTGTAAAAAAACTGGTTTTTTCTGTTAAAAAATGGGGGGTTTGTGTAAAAAAATCATTTTTTTCTGTAAAAAAATGGGGGTTTTGAGTAAAAAAACTGGTTTTTTCTGTTAAAAAATGGGGGGTTTGTGTAAAAAAATCATTTTTTTCTGTAAAAAAATGGGGGTTTTGCATTAGAAAAAAATGGGGGGTTTCTGTAAAAAAATGGGGTTTCTGTGTAAAAAAATGGGGGTTTTGTGTAAAAAAATGGGGGTTTTGTGTAAAAAAATGGGGGTTTTGTGTAAAAAAATGGGGGTTTTGTGTAAAAAAATGGGGGTTTTGTGTAAAAAAACTGGTTTTTTCTGTTAAAAAATGGGGGGTTTGTGTAAAAAAATTGGTTTTTTCTGTAAAAAAATGGGGTTTTTTTGCATTAAAAAATGAGGTTTTTGGGGGAAAACGGGGGTTCAGCCCTGTGCTCAAGCTCAGCTCACTGCTGGTGCACTCTGGCCACAGGAGGGCAAGGAAATCAGGGAATTCCGGGAATTCTGGGAATGATATGGGGGGAAATGGGGGGTTTGTGTAAAAATCTGGGATTTTCTGTGGAGAAAAAGGGTTTTGGGGGGAAAAAGGGGTGTGGGAATGGGGCTTCAGCTCAGCTTGGGCTCATCTGCTCCGTGGCCACAAGTGAGAGGGGAAATCCCAGAACTCCAGGAATTTTGGGAATTCTGGGGCTGGGAATTTTGGGAATTCTGGGAATTTTGGGAATTTTGTCCCTCCTAGACAAGCGCGCCCTGTTCATCATCTGCACCTCGGAGCTGGGACCCCAAATCTACGAGCTGGTGGCACTGACGTCCTCGGAGAAGAACACGTGAGGGGAAACCCTGGACAACCACTGGGATGGGCTGGAAAAGTCCCTGGGGGGAAAAAAATCCGTGGGATGGGCTGGAAAATCCCCTGGGATGGGCTGGAAAATTCCCTGGGGGGACAAAAATTCCTGGGAAGTGCTGGAAAAGCCCCTGGGAAGGGCTGGAAAATCCCTTGGGAGGGGCTGGAAAATCCCTTGACTGGTTTTTTCTGTCCTCCCCGGGGGGACAGAACTCCTGGGATGAGAGGGAGGGTCCCCGGGAAGGGCTGGGGGTCCCTGGGAAGGGCTGGAATTCCTCCCCGGGGGGACAGAACTCCTGGGATGAGAGGGAGGGTCCCCGGGAAGGGCTGGGGGTCCCTGGGAAGGGCTGGAATTCCTCCCGGGGATGAGAGGGAGGGTCCCCGGGAAGGGCTGGGGGTCCCGGCTGGAATTCCTGGCTGGAATCTTTCGCAGGTGGATGCAGCTGCTGGAGCAGGCGGTGCAAGGGGCCACCAGGAGCCCCCCGGGGCCACCAAAGCAGGGACAGAGCGAGGCCAGCGGGGACGGGGCCAGGTGGGACTGGGGATGGGACAATGGGATAACGGGAATGGGAATGATGGGAATGGGAATGAGGGGATAGTGGGAATGAGGGGAATGGGAGTGGGAATGACGGGAGTAATGGGGAGGGGATGGGAACGGGGATGGAGCTCAGGAGGTCCCCGGTGTCCCCAGAGGGTCTCTGGGATGGGGACTTGGGGCTGCCTGTCCCTGTCCCCATCCCTTTCCCTGTCCCCATCCCTGTCCCTGTCCCATTCCCATTCCCGTTCCCGTTCCCAGCCTGCTGCTGCCGGACCCCGCCGTGTCCCCGGAGCTGGCCCGGGACACCGAGCCCGAGGATTGCTCCTCAGGTATGCGGGCCTGCCCCATCCCTGTCCCTGTCCTGTCCGTGTCCCCATGTCCCCTCGGTGTCCCCGTGTCCCCTCGGTGTCCCCACGGTGTCCCCATGTCCCCTCTGTGTCCCCCGGCAGCCGGCAGTGACCCCGAGCCCCCGGGGCGGGCGCAGGAGCTGCTGGAGGAGCCGCGGGGGGCCGGAGCTGGGGACCCCGACCCGGGGGACCCTGACCCCGACCCCGGCCTGGGGGACCCCGACCCCGCCCCGGGGGGTCCCGGCCCCGTTCCCGGAATCCCCAAATCCCCGGGAAGCGCCGGAGTGGTCGAGGCAGCGCTGGAGGATGGTGAGAGCTGGGGACAATCCCAAATCCCCCAAATGTCCTTCCCCCATTCCCTGGGGAAATCCCAAATCCCCCAGTTTTCCTTCCTCCACCCCCTGGGGAACATCCCAGATCCCTCTCTCCCCATCCCGGGACATTTCCCCTGGAAAACCCCAAATCCCATTTTCCCTCCCCAATCCCAGTGGAGGCCCTGCGGCTCCTGATTGTCCGGCGGCTCCGGGACCCCCGCCTGTGCAGCCGGGAATTCCCAATGTCCAGCCGGGAATTCCCAACGTCCAGCCGGGAATTCCCAATGTCCGGCCGGGAATTCCCAACGTCTGGCCAGGAATTCCCAACGTCCGGCCGGGAATTCCCAACGTCCGGCCAGGAATTCCCAATGTCCAGCCGGGAATTCCCAGTGTCCAGCCGGGAATTCCCAACGTCCGGCCAGGACTCGGCCACGTCCAGCCGGGATTCCGGGACGTCCAGCTGGGAATTCCCAACGTCCAGTCAGGAATTCCCGGTGTCCAGCCAGGATTCCGGGATGTCCAGCCAGGAATTCCCAGTGTCCAGCCAGGAATTCCCAATGTCCACTCGGGAATTCCCAAAGTCCGGTCGGGAATTCCCGGTGTCCAGCCAGGAAGGGCCGGAGGGGCCGGAGCCCAACGGGATCCGAATCAACCGGAAAGGTAAAGGGGGATTGGGGCAGGAATTCCTCTGGGATTTGGGGCAGGGATTTCTGTGGGATTTGGGGTAGGATCGGGAGAATTTGGGGAATTTGGGGTGGGATTTGTGGGGGAATCGATGGGAATTCCCTGCAGTGCCTGCTGGGATCCCTGCTGGGATCTGGGGTCTCTCTCATTCCCAGGATTTGGGGTCTCCTTCCCTGCTCCTCTTGGGATTTGGGGTCTCGTTCCCTGGGCGCTGATTTCGGGATCGTGATTTTGGGTTCTGGGTTTTGGAGCTGATTTTTGGGTGTTGATTTCAGGGCGTTCGTTTGGGATTCTGATCTCGGGGTTCTGATCTCGGGGTTCTGATTTTGGGTTCTGGGTTTTGGAGCTGATTTTTGGGTGTTGATTTCAGGGCGTTCGTTTGGGGTTCTGATTTCGGGCTCTGATCTCGGGGTTCTGATCTTGGGGTTCTGATTTTGGGTTCTGATTTCGGGCTCTGATTTCGGGCTCTGATTGGGGTCTGGTGCTGGGTGCCAATTTTGGGGCGCTGCTTTTGGGTGCCAGTTTTGGGTCCCAGCTTTGGCTGCTGGGTGCTCATTAATTTTGGGTGCTAATTAATTTTGGGTGCTCATTTGGGGTTCTGTGCGCTGATTAATTTTGGGTGCTGGTTTTGGGGTGCTAATTGATTTTGGATTCTAATGAATTGCGGGTTCTGATTTGGGGTTCTGAACACTAATTTTGGCATTTTGGGGTGCTTCTTTTTGGTGCTGGGCGCTAATTAATTTGGGTTGCTAATTTTGGGTGCTGATTAATTTCGGGTGCTGATTTTGGGGTGCTGGGTGCTAATTAGGGGCGCTAATTAACTTTGGGGTGCTGATTTCGGGTGCCAATTCATTTCGGGTGCTAATTGGGGGTGCTAATGAACTAATTGAGGTGCTAATGAGCTAACTGGGGTGCTAATTAACTAATTGGGGTGCTAATTACCGCATTCCGGTGGCGGGGCCGCTCCCCCTTCCCCTCCCCCCCCTTTTTTGGGGGGCCCAGCCCAGGAGGAGGGGCCGGAGGAGGCCACGCCCCCGCGCGGCTGCAGCCAATCAGAGCCCGAGCTGCGGGAAGGAGGCGGAGCCAGCGCTGAGGGTAACCAGCCCCTCCCCCACCCCCAAAAAACCCCAAAAGGGCCCCAAAAACCAAAAATGGACACCAAAACCCCAAAAAGGGCCTCAAAAACCCCAAAAGTGCCCCCAAAAATGCAAAAAGGGCCCCAAAAACCCAAAAGGGCCCCCAAAAAAACCAAAAATGGCCACAAAGAACCCAAAAAGGGCCCCAAAAACCCCAAAAGGGCCCCAAAAACCCCACCAGGGGACACCAAATTCCTTCCTGGGGCCACCAAAAATCCTCTGGGGCCACCAAAATATCCCTGGGGCCACCAAAAACTCCAGAAGGGCCACCAGAAACACCCCCAGGAGGGCCACCAAGAGTCCCCGGGGCCACCAGGAGCCCTTGGGGGCCACCAGGGGTCCCCGGGGCCACTGATGTCCCCTGTCCCCTGCAGGGAATTTCTTCTACCTGAGCCTCCCCACGGGGCCCCCCCGGCTGGGAGGGGACAGCAGGGACCCCCCCGGGGACACGGAGCTGCTCCTGGGGACCCTGGAGGAGCTGCGGGGGAAACTGCTGAGCCTCAGGGTGAGACTGGGGACATGGGGACATCACTGGGGACATGGGGACATTAATGTGAAACTGCTGAGCCTCAGGGTGAGACTGGGGACATGGGGACATCATTGGGGACATCACTGGGGACATCACTGGGGACATGAATGTGAAACTGCTGAGCCTCAGGGTGAGGGGACACTGGGGACAGTAACGGGGACAGTGACACCACTGGGGCCATGGGGGGGACACTCGGGGGACAGGGGCTGGCCCAGCCGTGTCCCCGCGTGTCCCCAGCTGTCCCTGTCCCCCCAGGCCATGGAAGCCGCTCACCGGCAGCTGCTGCGCTCGCTGGGCGGGGGCGACGCCGCCGTCCCCAACAACGTCCCCAGTGTCCCCAGCGCCGTCCCCAGTGTCCCCAACAACGTCCCCAGCCCCCAGAGCTCGCCCTGGGGACACGGTGGCACCGCCACCCGCGCTGGCACCGCCACCCACGGCACAGGTGAGAGCCCGTGCACCGTCCGTGTCCCCAGCGTGTCCCCAGCGTGTCCCCAGCGTGTCCCCTTCCCCACACCGCACTATCCCCCATTCATTTCCCATTTCCCCTTTATTCCCCCATTAATTTCCCTTTTCCCCTGTTATTTCCATTATTTTCCCATTATTTCCCCCATTATTTAATTTCCCATTTCCCCCATTATTCCCCCATTATTTCCCCCATTAATTTCCCATTTCCTTCATTATTTCTCCCATTATTTCCCATTATTTCTCCCATTATTTCCCCATTACTGAATTTCCCATTCCCCCCATTATTTCCCATGTTAATTTCCCATTTTCCCCATTATTCCCCCATTATTTCCCCCACTATTTCTCCCATTATTCCCCCCATTATTTAATTTCCCATTCTCCCCATTATTCCCCCTGTTAATTTCCCATTTTCCCCCTTATTTCCCCCATTATTTAATTCCCCTTTTCCCCCGTTATTTCCCCCATTATTTCCCCCCTTTTCTTCCAGGCTCCGACGCCCCCGCCCACCTTTAACCCAGAGGGGGGGGATGGGCTGGAATTTCCCTCCCCTCCCCCAGACCCCCCCCGGAAGATTTTCCAGGGAATTCCGGCCGGGAATTCCCCCCGGACGGCCGGACAGACGGACAGATGCACTTTGTTGGGAATTCCCCCTTTTCCCCCCCAAAAAAAACCCCTATAAATATGTACGTACGCCCCTCCCCCACGCTGTAAATACCCCCGGTGTCCCCTCCCCCCTCCCGGTGACAATCGGGGGTGACACGGTGACAATCGGGGGGTGGCACCCCCAAAATCCCGGGATTTCCCCCCAAAAGCCCGGATTTTCCCCAAATCCCGGGGTTCCATATAAATATTATAAATATCAGAGCCCGGGGGGCTGAAGCTGGGAAGAATCCCCCACTTTTGGACTCGTTTTTTGTGGGATTTGGGGTTTTTTAATGGGGTTTGGGGTTTTTTGAGTGGAATTTGGAGGCGGGGGGGTTAACGGGATTTGGGGCTTTTTTAATGGGATTTGGGTTTTTTTATAAGATTTGGGGGTTCTTTATCCCTGGGGGAGGGGTCTCAGATCCCGGGGTGGGGATTTGGGGTTTGGAGATCCTGGAGGTGACGGGAGGGGCTTGGGGGTTTGGGAATTTGGGGTTTGGGATTTGGGGTTTGGGGGTTTGGGAGTTCTGGGATCCAGCCCCGCGGTGTCCCCAGGGGCTGCGATGTCCCCAAATGCCCCTGGGGGGGGAATGTGACAGTGTCCTGGGGGGGTGACAGTGTCCCCAAGGTGTCATCCTGGGGTGGGGATTTGGGGTTTGGAGATCCTGGAGGTGACAGGAGGGGCTTGAGGGCTTGGGAATTTGGGGTTTGGGATTTGGGGTTTGGGGGTTTGGGAGTTCTGGGATCCAGCCCCGCGGTGTCCCCAGGGGCTGCGATGTCCCCAAATGCCCCTGGAGGGGAACGTGACAGTGTCCCCAAAGGGCTGTCACACTGTCCCCAGGGTGTGAGTGACAGTGTCCTGGGGGGGTGACAGTGTCCCCAAGGTGTCACACTGTCCCCAGGGTGTGACAATGTCCCCAAGGGGGTGTGGCCCTGTCCCCAGGGGTGTCACAGCCCAGCCTGGTGACAATGCTCCGGTTTATTTACAAGCTGGCAGGGGGTGGTGGCACCGTCCCTGTCCCTGTCCCCAGTGGCTCCCAGGTGCCCCGGGGGTGGCCCTGCGGCCCCAAAGGGGGACAGGGAGGGGACAGCAGGACACGTCCCCAAAGTCCCCGTGTCCCCTGGGGGCCCACGGCCGCGAGGAGCGGTGGCACCTCTGGTGGCACCTCCCGGGTGTCCTCAGTGTCACATCCTGGGTGTGCCCAGGCTCGGGTTCTCGGTGTCACAAGGTGAAGATCTCGTCCCGGGTGTCCCCAGTGTCCTCGCTGTCCCCATGTCCCCGGTGTCCCCGCTGTCACAAGGTGAAGATCTCGTCCTCGCTGTCCCTGAGCGCGGCCGCCCGCGGGGTCCTGGTGAGGGGCCGGGGTCCCAGCCGGGCCCCCCGGGGGGACAGAGCGGGGCTGGGGCCACCCCCGGGGCTGTGGGGACACCGCGTGACACCGTGTGACACCGCGTGACAGCCGGGGTGGCAGTGCCACCGCCCCGGTGCCACCACACCCGGCTGCACCCGAGGCTCCGCTCCGGCTCACCCCGATCTCCTCCCAGTTTCACCTCACTTTTACCCCACTTCTTCCCAAGTTTTTCCCAAAATTTTCCCCAAATTTTTCACAATTTTCCCCACAATTTTTCCGGAATTTTTCCCACAATTTTCCCAGAATTCTTCCCAAATTTTTTCCCCAAATTTTTCCCAAATTTTTCCCCGGAATTTCCCCCAATCTCCTCCCAGTTCCACCCCAATTCCCCCCCATTTTCCCCCCGATTTTCCCCCGGTTCCCCCCGGTTCTCCCCGGTTCCCACCTGCCCGGGCCCCGCAGCCCCCGCGCCGCCTCCTTGCAGCGCCCGATCTCGGCGTCCAAGCGCCGCAGGAAATCCGAGGCCGAGAGGTCGCGCCGGGAGGGGCCGGGGCCGTCCCGGGGGCCGTCCCGGGGGCTGTCCCTGTCCCCGGGGCTGTCCCCGGTGATGTCCCCGGTGATGTCCCCGGGGCTGTCCCCGGGGCTGTCCCCCGGCGGCTCGCCGTGCCCCGGGATGAGCAGCGTGGCTCTCAGGAAGATCGTGTCCGAGGAGTAGAGGCGGTTGGCGCGCTGGATCTGCTCCATCTGCGGGACGGCACCGGCACCGGCACCGGGACCGGGACAATACAGGGACAGGGACGGGGACACGGACCGGGATCAGCAGGCAAAGGGAACCGGGCCAGCACGGGCCCGAGATGACCCCTGGGCCGGGGGTCCCGCCCGGGGGTCCCGGCCCGGCCCCGCCGCTCACGGGGAGCGCTCGGCCCCGGGCCCCGCCGAACCGGCGCGGCCTCGCCGCCCCTGCTGGGAGTTGTAGTTCCGCGCGGGCCGCCTCCGCCGCCATTCCCACGGGAGCTTCCCGCGCTCTAACTACAACTCCCATCACCCCGCGGGGGCCGCGCTGGGCGCTCGCTGATTGGTCGTTCCCCCCGCGCGCTGCCCGCTGTGAAGCGCCACCCGGAAGCGGCGGTGGCGGTTGCCATGGAGACCGCGGCCTAGCGGGCGCCGCCATGTCCTTTAAGCGCGACGAGAGCGACCCGGGCCCGCTCGGGGCGCTGCAGGTGGGGCCCGCACCCCCGGGAGCCCCCGGGACCCCTCCCCGGGCACCCCCCGGGCACCCCCGGCAGCGCCCGGCCCAGCCCCGGCCTCCCCCGGCTTCACCCAGGGCCGCGGCCTGAGCCCCGCGGTGCCCTGAGCCGGGGCTGTCCCCGGGGCTGTCCCCCGGCGGCTCGCCGTGCCCCGGGATGAGCAGCGTGGCTCTCAGGAAGATCGTGTCCGAGGAGTAGAGGCGGTTGGCGCGCTGGATCTGCTCCATCTGCGGGACGGCACCGGCACCGGCACCGGCACCGGGACCGGGACAATACAGGGACAGGGACGGGGACACGGACCGGGATCAGCAGGCAAAGGGAACCGAGCCAGCACGGGCCCGAGATGACCCCTGGGCTCCCCCCGGCCCCCCGTTCCCCCGGTTTCCCCCCGGTGTCCCCGGTCCGCTCACCGTCACCCCGTAGCGCAGCGCCAGCCCCGGCAGGGTGTCCCCGGGCTGCAGGCGGTGCTCCCGCGGGGCCGCCCCGGCCCCCCCGGCTTCACCCAGGGCCGCGGCCTGAGCCCCGCGGTGCCCTGAGCCCTTCCCGGGCCCCCTTGTCCCCTCGAGGCCCCCCGACCCTTCCCCCGGTCCCTTTGTGTCCCCTCACCCTCCCCGGGGTGTCCCCAGCCCTTTCCTGAACCCCCCGGGACCCCCGACCCTTCCCCGGTCCCTTTGTGTCCCCTCACCCTCCCCGGGGTGTCCCCAGCCCTTTCCTGAACCCCCCGGGACCCCCGACCCTTCCCCGGTCCCTTTGTGTCCCCTCCGGGTCCCGCGGGTCCTTCCCCGGCCCCGCTGTGTCCCCTCAGCCCGGCCCGGGGCTGTCCGGGTCTGGGGACAGCGTGGGGCCGGTCTGGGGACAGTGTGGGGGTGGTTTGGGGACAGTGTGGGGACAGGAGGTGACCGCGGGCCCCGCTGTCCCCAGAGGCGCCGCGTGGCCGAGCTGCTGGCCAGCGCCATCCCCGAGGACGAGGCGCTGCTGCTGCGCGACGGCAGGTGAGGGTCCCCGCTGTCCCCTGGCTGTCCCCGCGGTGTCCCCGCGGTGTCCCCAGAGTGCCCCGTGCTGTCCCCAGGCTGGCGTGCTCGCTGTGTCCCCAGCGGCCCGTGTGTGACACTCTGCAGACGCTGCTGCTGCACCGCGCGGGCAGGAAGCACCTGGACAGTGAGCCCCGGGGTGTCCCCTGGGCTGTCCCTGTCCCTGTGTTACCTTTACTGTCCCAATGTCCTTGCCCCTGTCCCCTGGGATGTCACCTGGGCTGTCCTTGTGTCACTTGTCCCCGTGTCCCCCAAGATGTCACCTGTCCCTGTCCCCTGGGCTGTCCCTGTGTTACCTGTACTGTCCCCTCACCCTGTTCCTGTCCCCCATGTCCCCTGACCGTGACCCTGTCCCTGTCCCCTCTCGCTGTCCCCTGTCCCCGTTGGATGTCACCTGTCCCTGTCCCCTGGGCTGTCCCTGTGTTACCTGTACTGTCCCCTCACCCTGTTCCTGTCCCCATGTCTCTGCCCTTCATCCTGTCCTTGTCCCTGTCCCCCTGTCCCCATCCCTGTCCCTGTCCTTGTTCCTTGTCCCCTCTCGCTGTCCCCCTGTCCCCGTTGCTGTCCCTGTCCCCTCACAGTGTCCCCTGTCCCCTGTCCCTGTCCCCGTTCCAGGCCTGCAGCGTTCCTTCGGGCGCCGCTGGCCCCACGAGGCCCCGCAGGGACCCCAGGAGCCCCCGGGGGCGGAGCCAGGGGGGCAGGTGGGTGTGGCCAGGCTGGGCGTGGCCCCAGGGCGTGACCCTGAATGGGTGGGGCCTCCATGGGTGGGGTTCGATGTGGGTGTGGCTCAGTGTGGGTGTGGTCTCTGTGGGTGTGGTCTCCAAGTGGGTGGGGCCCCACAGTGTCTCCCAAGTGGGCGTGGCCTATGGGGGGTGTGTCCATGGGGGCGTGGCCTTTGGTCATATACGGAGTGGGCGTGGCCTGGTTGGGTGTGTGATGGGGTGTCTCCAAGTGGGTGGGGCCCCACGGTGTCTCCCAAGTGGGCGTGGCCTATGGGGGTGTGTGTCTTCCACGGGGGCGTGGCCTATATGGGTGTGTCCATGGGGGCGTGGCCTTTGGTCATATACGGAGTGGGCGTGGCCTGGTTGGGTGTGATGGGTGTGGCCGCGGTGGGCGGGGCCCGGAAAATGCAGGGAAAATGGGGACAAAAATGGGGGAAATAATGGGGGGAAAACACAGGGAGAATGGGGGAAATGGGGAAAAACACAGGGAAAATGGGAAAAAATGGGGACGGAAATGGGGGGAAAATGGAAAAAACAGGGGAAATGGGGGAAAACTGAGAAAAATGGGGGGAAAGGGGGGGAAGATGGGGGAAACGGAAAAACACTGGGGAAATGGGGAAATGGGGGGAAATAGGGAAATGGGGAAATGGAAGAAATGGGGGAAAAACAGGGAAAATGGGGGAAAAGCAGGGAAAAATGTGGGGAAACGGGAAAATGGGGGAAATGGGGAAAAGATGGGGAAAAATGGGAAAGAAACAGAGAAAAAAAAGGGAGAAGATGGGAAAGGAGCTCAGAGACACCGTGAAAAGTTCTGGGATTCCCAGGAAAGGGAATGGGCTGGGATTCACCCCCTCTCCCTTCCCCCTCCCAGGACGAAGGGCAGCAGCTGCCGGGCCGGGATCCCCGGGGTGATCCCAAAGAATCCCCAGACGCCGCCAAAATCGTCCGGGAACCCCGGGAACCCCGGGAACCCCGAAACCCCCGGCCCCACGCACAGAGAGGGTGAGAGCCCGCCCTTGCAGGGGCTTTCCCGGGAATTCCCAGTCCCGGAATTCCCGGCAGCCCCGTCCTTGCTCCCCCAGGCGCTCCCAAGGACAGGAAACGAAGGAAAGGAAATTCCCGGAGCTCCGAGGGCCCCGAGGGGCCGAGCCCGGAGCGGCTGCGGATCCTGCGGCACCACCTGCACCTGCGCAGGTGGGTGGGCTCTGGGAATGCTGGGAAAAACCCCAAAAATATCCCCCAAAAAACCCCCACAGAAATCCCCCAAAATATCCCAAAAGTATCCCAAAGAATCCAAAAAAAAAAAAAACCCGAAAAACCAAAAAAAACCCCCAAAAAATCCCAAAAATTTCCCAAAGAATCCAAAAAAAAAAAAAACCCCAAAAACCCAAAAAAACCCACAAAAAATCCCAAAATTATCCCCAAAAAAACCAAAAAAAAAGCCCCAAAAATATCCCATAAACTCCCCGAGATCCCAGCGAGTCCCCAATCCCTTTCCTGTGTCCCAGCCGGGGCTGGATCCAGGATCCCTCTGGGAATTGGGTGAAGGACGGGAACGCCGAGTTCGACTCCGACGAGGAGGAGCCGCCACCACTGCCACCAGCCTGACAGCCCCGAGTGTCCCCAGGAGCCCCCAGGTGTCCCCAAGTGTCCCCAGAGCCCCAGGAATAAAGTGGGAATCTTTTGGGACCATTTCTCCACTTTATTCCCTTTATTCCTGAGCTCAGTGCGGGCATGGGGGAATTTTAGGATTTCTTCTGTTGGCGACCTGGGGGGAGAGAAAAGAGGGGGGTCAGGGGTGGGACCCCAAAGTCCCGCCCCTGGTGACACTTGGGGACACTCAGGAGCTTGTTCCAAGCTCTGGGACCCCCAGGTGACACCTGGGGACCCTTGGGGACACCTGGGGACCCTTGGGGACACTCCCAGGGCTCCCTTTAAGGTGGGTTCACCCCTGGGACACCCCAAACCCACCCTTGGGGACACTTGGGGGCTCATTGTGAGCTGGGGCCAGCTCTGGCTGAGCCCTCCCGGGTGGGGCCCTGGCGGTGACCCCGGGATGGCCCCGGGGTGGCCCTGGGGACCCTTGGGGACACCTGGGGACACTCACGCAGCTCGTTGTTGCGGGTGAGGGCGGCGGCGGCGCGCGCCCGCGGGCCCTGCAGGGTGAAGGTGTAGCCAAAGCGCAGCAGGGACGGGCACTGCTCCAGCGTGGCTGCCATGGCCATCTCCACCGTGTCCCCCAGGCGCTGGCACTGCGGGGACAGCGGGGACAGGGTCAGTGTCACTGCCACAGCCCCATCTCCACCGTGTCCCCCAGGCGCTGGCACTGCGGGGACAGCGGGGACACGGTCAGTGTCATTGCCACACCCCCCAGGCGCTGGCACTGCGGGATTGGAGACAGTCAGGTCGCTGTCACCTCCCCTGGTATCCCTGTCCTTCCTGTCCCTGTCCCCCCTGTCCCTGCCATCCCTGTCCCTCTGTCCCCGCTGTCACCTGGTTGTCCACGCGGATCTCGCTCAGCGTGGGGCAGTGGCCGATGGCCGCCAGCAGCCGCAGCATCCCCGCGCTGGTGATGAAGTTGGACTCGAGGTTGAGGCTCTGCAGGCTCCGGTTCTGCTCCAGCATCTCGGCCACCGCCTGGGGACACCGCGGGGACACCGCCGTGGCACCAGAGTGGCACCAGAATGACCCCAGAGTGACCCCAGAGTGACCCCAAAGTGGCACCACAGTGGCACCACAGTGGCACTGTGGGGACACCGCCTTTGGTGTCCCAGGGATGGGTGGACAGGCACGGGGTGGACCCATCTGGGGACACTTGGGGACAGTGGGGGACTCACGTTGGCCACCAGGTCGTTGCTGCGCGTGGCCACCAGGCTGAGGCTGCGCACGTGGGTGTTGGTCTTGATGGCCTGGCAGATGGCCTCCAGCGTGGGGACAGGGATGTCCTGGGGACACGGGGACACGGCGTCACCAGGGGCTGGGGGTGTCCCCAGGGGGCTCGGGGACAGGGATGTCCTGGGGACACGGGGACACCAGGGGCTGGGGTGGGACCCGGCACCGTGGGGACGCACTGGGGACAGGGAGCACCCTTGGGTGCCAGCCTCACGCGAGCGGAGGGGGCGGTGGCAGCGCGGTGTCACCTTGATGTTGTTGAGGTTGACGTCCTGCAGCGCGGGGTCGTTGTCCTGCAGCCGCCGCAGCGTCTCGGCCACATCCGTGGGGTTCGGGGGCTCGTCCGGCACCGGCCGGTACCGGTCCGGCTGCACCACGCCTGGGGCAGCGTGGGGACACCGTGGGGACAGCGTGGGGACACCGTGACACCATGGGGACGGGCTCAGGGACGCAGGGACATGCGAGTTTGGTCCCCAAATGCTGCCCCAACCACACCATGGAGGCACCTGTCCCCTGTCCCAGGCTCTGTCCCCTGTCCCTGTGTCCCTTTGTCACTCACTGTGGATTCCCAGGCTCTGCCCCCTGTCCCCGTCCCCGTCCCGTTGTCACTCACTGTGTCCCCCTGTCCCTGTCCCCTTGTCACTCACTGTTGATGCCCTCGGTGTTGCAGATGTTCCCGCTGCAGATGGCATCGTAGTACTGCTTGTTACTCATCAGCGTGTACATGCCCAGGATGGCTGCGGGGACAGCGGGGTGGCATGGGGACATCGGGGGCACGGGGGACACGGGGCACGCAGGACTCCGCTGTCCCCCCAGGGAGGTGGCACTGGGGGCCAGAGGGGGGGTCGGGGCTGCTTTAACTGAGGGGACACAGAGGGTGAGGGGGGACCGAGTGTGACACTGTGGGACAGTGTGTGACACTGGGACAGTGCGTGTGACACTCAGCTGTGTGTGACACGGGGGTGACAGGGATGCGTGTGACACTCGGGTGTGTGACAGTGACACAAGGACAGGTGTGCCGTGCTGGCCCGGTGCTCGGTGTCCCTCCCCAGGTGACAGTGACACCGCGTGACACTCAGGTGTGTGACACAAGGACAAGTGTCCCTCCCCGGGTGACAGTGACACTGTGTGACACCCTTGGGGACAGCGTTACCCTCGGCCAAGGCCCTTCCTGGTGCCGCTCCCGGCCCCGCGGGGATCCCGGCCTGCGCAGAGCCCGGCCCCGTTCATCCCATGGGAGCCCCGTGGAAATCCCATCCCACCCTATCAGCTCCCAACCCCATGGAAACCCCAGCCCAGCAGATCCAAATCCCACGGAAGTCCCATCCCAAGTCCATCCTTTACAAATCCCACCCCCATTCCAACCCCATCCATGTTCCCATTCCCATCCCAATCCCATTCCCACCCCCGCTGTGCCGCTGTCCCCACCCACCGGCGATGTCGCACGTCCCATTCCCGTTCCCATCCCAATCCCATCCCATTCCCATCCCAATCCCATTCCCAATCCCATTCCCAATCCCATTCCCAATCCCATTCCATTCCCATCCCAATCCCATTCCCATTCCCATCCCATGCCGATCCCAATCCCGCTGTCCCCACCCACCGGCGATGTCGCACATCTCAGCCCCATTCCATGCCATTCCCATCCCAATCCCATTCCCATCCCATGCCGATCCCAATCCCGCTGTCCCCACCCACCGGCGATGTCGCACATCTCGGCCTCGGTGGCGTTGGCCAGCGCCTCCTCCAGCTCGGGCTCCAGCGTCACCTGCTCCTCCCGCGGCAGCGCCGGCGCCGCCGCCTTGGGGACAAACGGCTTCCCTGGGGACAGGGACAGGGTCACAGGCGGCGCGGGGACATGGGGACACCGGCCACGGGGACAGGCGGCCTCCCTGGGGACCGGGGACACGGGACAAACGGCTTCAGGTGGCATCACCGGGGTGGCCTCGCTGGGGCTGGCGCTGGGCTGTGACCATCCCGGGGCTGGCACTGCTGTCCCCGGGGGTGACACTGCCAGGGCTGTGACCATCCCGGGGCTGGCACTGCTGTCCCCGGGGGTGACACTGCCAGGGCTGTGACCATCCCGGGGCTGGCACTGCTGTCCCGGGGGTGACACTGCCAGGGCTGGTGGCCGTGCCCGGGGCTGGCGGGGGCCCAGCTCGCCCAGGACACCCGAGCCGCTGGCGAGGCCGAGCTAAATATACCCGAGCCCGGGGGCCCGGTCCCCTCCTGTCCCCGCGCTGTCCCCAGCCCGTGGCCAGGCTGTCCCCGCGCTGTCCCCGCGCTGTCCCCGCTGTCCCCAGACCTTTTTTCTCGCCGGTGAAGGGCACGAGGTCCTGGCGCTCCTCGGCCTCCAGCGCCTGCCGCTCCAGGTGCTGCAGGAGCGCGTCCCGGTCCAGGGGTCCCGTGGGGCTCTTGAGGGTCTGGTCGCGCTGGCGCAGCCCCGCGGGCAGCAGCACGTTCTGGGGACAGCGCCCGTGTCACCTGCTGTCCCCTGCTGTCCCCTGCTGTCCCGCGGCCCCCGCCCGCGCCCACCTCGGGGTCCATCTCGGCCAGCTCGGCGTCCAGCTGCGCCAGCTCCTCCGGGGACAGCTCCTGCAGGATCTTGTCCTCGTCGATGTCGCGGTACTTCTCCAGCTCCTGCCGGTACGGCGTCATGGCCGCGGGGACCTGGCGACAGCGCGGGGACAGCGGGTGGCACCGATGGGACACGGGGGGACACGGGGGGCACCCCTTGGTGCCAGCACTGGCGGCTCTGGGGACACGGGGGGACACGGGGGGACAGGGGGGAGCTGGCCGTGCCACCCCACAGCGGCTGGGGACGCCGAGCACAGCCCAAAAGTTGTCCCCGACCTTTGTCACCTCCCAGGGTCACATCCCGCTCCCGCCTCGCCCCCGGTCCCAGCGTCCCCCCCAGATTCCGGGGTGACAGCGGGGACAAACCGCGAGTCCCCAAATGTCGCGGCCCCGCAAGCGGCGCCCCGCGGTGTCCCCAGAGCGGGGTGGGGACACAGCGTGGGAATTCCTTTGGGAAGCGGCTCCGGGATCCCCAAATCCCAAATGTCTGTGTCGGGAGGGGTCCCCGCAGGTGACACCGCGGGGACAGCGCGGGGACAGCGGGGCCGTACCTGGGGCCGATCCCGCGGCCGATCCTAAAGCTCGGGGGGGATCCTAAAACCGATCCCACAGCCGATCCCGAACGCGGGGCTGATCCCGGAGCCCCGGGCCGATCCCAAAGGCGATCCCAAAAGCCGGGGCCGGTCCCGAAGCTCGGGGGCCGCGCGGGGCATGAGATCAGCGCTTTATTGGGGCCGGCAGGGGCGGATCCGCGCCCGGCCCTTATCGGGAACGGGGGGGCCCCGCCCCGGCCCCGCGGGGCCCCCCCGACCCCACAAACCGCCAGAGCGCGGATCCTTGCCCAGTCCCATAAACCTGCAGAGCTCCGACCCCAAAAACCGCCGGGGGAAAGGGGGACACGGGGAAAGGTGAGGGGGGCACGGAGCCCTCCCAAATCCCACAAACCCCACAAAGCTCAAGGCGGGTTTGGCCCCACAAGCCCCAAATTCGGGGGGTGAAGGGGGTTTGGAGCCCCCAGATGGGGTCTGGGGGAGCTGGGAATGAGTTTTGGTAGGGTCTTCTGGAAAAGGGAATCCCATAAACTTTATTTGAGGCTGTTCTGGAGAAAGGAATCTGGTATTATTGTGGGGTCTTCTGGAAAATAATGGCTTCATGAACCTTTATTGTAGGGTTTCCTGGAAAAAGGGCTCCCACCCCATTTTTTGGGTAGGATTTCTGGAAAAGGGCTCTGCAAACCTCTTTATTTATTGCAGGATCTCCTGGAAAAAGGGGCTCCCACCACCCCACACAAACCAACCCCCAGTTCAACTTTATTCCCTCCTCCACACCCCTGGGGAACACTGACCCCAAAAAACATCCCTCACACGGGTGATCCCATATCCCTAAATCCCAAATCCCAACATCCCAAAATCCCGGGATTTCAGGCACTGCCAATGCTTTGGAAAGGATCCCCTCAACAAAACCATCACCGCTGTCCGTCCCAATAACCTGACACCCCAAACCCCAAATCCGGGACCTCAGGCAGTGGGGACGCTGTGCTCGATGACGATTTTCTGCTCTTTTGGGGAGGACATTCCCACACCCCACATCCCAAATCCCAGCACCCCAAATCCCAGGTGTAAGGCACTGGGAAAGCTCTGTTTGATGACGATTTTCTGCTCTTTTGGGGAGGATGCAGAGTCTGGACGCTCCCATATCCCAACGCCCCGAGACCCCAAATCCCAGATCCTAGCTCCCATCTCTCAGGCACTGGCAATGCTCCGTTTGATGACCCCTCCACACCCCTGGGGAACACTGACCCCAAAAAACATCCCTCACACGGGTGATCCCATATCCCTAAATCCCAAATCCCAACATCCCAAAATCCCGGGATTTCAGGCACTGCCAACGCTTTGGAAAGGATCCCCTCAACAAAACCATCACCGCTGTCCGTCCCAATAACCTGACACCCCAAACCCCAGATCTGGGACCTCAGGCAGTGGGGACGCTGTGCTCGATGACGATTTTCTGCTCTTTTGGGAAGGACATTCCAGTACCCCAGACCCCACATCCCAGCTCCCATCTCTCAGGCACTGGGAACACTCTGCTTGAGGATGATTTTCTGCTGTTTTGGGAAGGACGTTCCAATACCCCACACCCCAAATCCCAGATCCCAGGTGTCAGGCACTCTCAGCACTCTGTTTGATGATGATTTTCTGCTCTTTTGGGAAGGACGTTCCAATATCCCACACCCCAAATCCCAGCTCCCATCTCTCAGGCACTCGGAACGCTCCGCTTGATGACGATTTTAGAAAGAACACCCCCACACCCCAGCTCCCAGCTCCCATCTCTCAGGCACTGGGAACACTCTGCTTGAGGATGATTTTCTGCTGTTTTGCAAAGGACACTCCGCACCCCAGCACCCCCACACCCCAGCTCCCATCTCTCAGGCACTGGGAACACTCTGCTTGAGGATGATTTTCTGCTGTTTTGCAAAGGACACTCCGCACCCCAGCACCCCCACACCCCAGCTCCCAGCTCCCGCCGTCAGGCGCTGGGCACGCTCTGCTTGATGACGATTTTCTGGCGGCCGGGCCGCGCCCCGGCGCTGTCCCCGGCGCCCGCGGCGGCGGCGGCGGCGGCGCTGGGCAGCCCGTGGGCCGTGACGTACTTGCGGTAGGCCTCGCGGATGATGCGGAAGGCGCGGGCGTTGGAGTAGGGGATGTCGGTGATGGGGTCGCGGTAGAGCGCCGGCTTGTGCGTGACGGGGCAGAGCTCGCGCACCGGCAGCCGCGGCGCCTTGGCCCGCGGGAAGCAGCGCTCGAAGGTGGCGTCGTCGCTGAAGGAGATGAAGGTGCGCGAGCACTTCCCCGGCGACGGCGGCCGCGCCTCGGGGCCCAGCCTGCAACGGGACGGGCTCGGGGTGGGCCGGGAACGGGGCTGGGAACGGGGCTGGGAACGGGGCGGGCAAAGGGGGGGATTGCCAAGGGTCTGGGGGCTCAAAGGGTGCGGCTGCAACGGGGGATTTCGGGTTGGTGGTGGTGCCCGAGAACTGCGACTCTCATGGATATGGGATCCCAAAAGCTGTGACTCCCATGGGATTTGGGGTTTGTGGTGGTGCCTGAGAACTGCGACTCTGGGGCCGGGAACAGGGCCGGGAACGGGGCCAGGAACGGGGCCAGGCGTGCCCCCCCGGCGCTTGGGGTGGGCAAAGGGGGGCATTGCCAAGGGTCTGGGGGCTCAAAGGGTGCGGCTGCAACGGGGGATTTGGGGTTTGTGGTGGTGCCTGAGAATTGCGACTCTCATGGATATGGGATCCCAAAAGCTGTGACTCCCGTGGGATTTGGGGTCTCAAAAGGTGCGGCTCCAACGGGGGATTTGGGGTTTGTGGTGGTGCTCAAAAGCTGCGATTCCAAAGGGGTCTGGGGGCTCAAGAGGTGTGGCTGCAACGAGGGATATGGGATCCCAAAAGCTGTGACTCCCATGGGATATGGGATCTCAAAGGGTGCAGCTGCAACGGGGGATTTGGGGTTGCCAAGGTGGTGAGCTGCGACTCCCATGGGATTTGGGGCCTCAAAAACTGCTTCTCCAGTGTGGGATTTGGGATGGCCAAGGTGGAGCTCAAAAGCTGATTTTCCCATGGGATTAGGAGACTCAAAACATGCTTATTCCACGGGATTAAGGGGATCAAAACCTGCTTTTCCCGTGGGATTCGGGGGTTCCAAGGTGCCCAAACCCACCCCAGAACGGGGATTCTGGGATTTGGGGCTCGCTGGCACTCACCCCTCCACGTCCACAGGGTCCTCGCGGCCGGGCTCGGGCAGGAGGGGCATGGTCAGGGACCAGTACCGGATCACGGGGCCCACGATCTTCCTCTTCTTCTGCACCTGCTTCTTCTTGTCCGCCTCCAGCCGCTCGTAGTTCTCTGGGGGCGGGAACGGGGGCGGGAATGGGGGTGGGAACAGGGAATAGGGGCAGGAATAAGGGTGGGAATGGGGGCAGGAACAAGGGCAGAAACGGCTCAGCCCAGCACGGCGACGTTACAGGGCTGCCAGCTCTGATCCTGGGATCCCTGTGCCATTCCCAGTGTCCTTGTCCCAGTAGCCCAGCCCCACTCCCGATTCCAATATCCCACTCCCATTCCCAATATCCCATTCCCAGTACCCCATTCCCATTTCCCCATTCCCTCACCCAGGGAGTGCAGGCTGATCTCCTCAGTGATCCCAGCCCTGCCCCATTCCCATTCCCAGTATCCCATTCCCAATCCCAACCCCATTCCCTCACCCAGGGTGCGCAGGCTGATCTCCTCGGTGATCCCAGCCCTGCCCCATTCCCATTCCCAGTATCCCATTCCCAGTATCCCATTCCTCACCCAGGGAGCGCAGGTTGATCTCCTCAGTGATCCTGGCCCTGTCTCAGCCCCATTCCCAATCCCAATCCCATTCCCATTCCTCACCCAGGGAGCGCAGGTTGATCTCCTCGGTGATCCCAGCCCTGCCCCATTCCCATTCCCAGTATCCCATTCCCAGTATCCCATTCCTCACCCAGGGAGCGCAGGTTGATCTCCTCAGTGATCTTGGCCTCCTCCAGCAGCTCCTCCTGGGTCAGGGGCCGCTCGTGGCTGGTGCCTCCCTTCTTCCTCTTGGACTGCACCTGGCGCTCCTGGAGCCGCAGGAACGTCTGCCGCGTGTGCTCCGTGGTGGACTGGCGCATGTGCTTCCGGCCTGGGGCACGCGGGTCACCACGGGCCCGGAGAGCCGGGGACCCCCGGGATCCCCAGAGACCCCCGGGGGCACCCAGAGACCCCCGGGGGCACCCAGGGACCCCCGGGATCCCCACCCCAGCCCCTGGAGCACCAGGAGCTCTCCCCTGGGATCCCATTCCCAGCTGGAATGTCTGCCGGGTGTGCTCCGTGCTGGACTGGCGCATGTGCTTCCAGCCTGGAGAGACTCCAGCCAGCTGGAATTCTGGGAATGCTCCCAGGGGATCCCAACCCCAGCCCCTGGAGCACCAGGAGCTCTCCCCTGGGATCCCATTCCCAGCTGGAATGTCTGCCGGGTGTGCTCCGTGCTGGACTGGCGCATGTGCTGCCAGCGTGGAGAGACTCCAGCCAGCTGGAATTCTGGGAATGCTCCCAGGGGATCCCAACCCCAGCCCCTGGAGAACCAGGAGCTGCCCCAGAGGATCCCATTTCCAGCTGGGATCACCCAGACCCTGCTCCCACCCCATTCCCATCACATCCCCGTCCCCATCTCCACCCCTCCCCACCCATTCCATCCATTCCCACCCATCCATCCCCATTCCCATTCCCCATTCCCATTCCCACCCCGTTCCCACCCCTCTCTCACTGTCTCCGCCGTCCCCATTCCCATTCCCCATTCCCATTCCCATTCCCATCCCCACCCCTGCTCACTGTCTCCCCCATTCCCATTCCCATTGCCATTCCCCATTCCCATTCCCCCCATCCCCACCCCTCTCTCACTGTCTCCGCCGTCCCCATTCCCATTCCCATTCCCCATCCGCACTCCCACCCCTCTCTCACTGTCTCCCCCATTCCCATCCCCACTCCCCCCATCCCTGCTCCCCTGCTCACTGTCTCCGCCGTCCTCCTGCAGCTCCAGGGGCAGCCCCTTCACCTCCCTGCCCCTGGCTGCCCGCGGCCCCTCCGCCTTCCTGGCCCGCAGGCTCTGGAGCGGCTCCTGCAGGGAGAGCGCGGCTAGGAGCCCCAGCCCCGCCATTTCGGGGTGTTCCCCCCCGGCAGGCCCGGTACCCGGTAGGCCTTGGTGAGCACGCGGCGGCGGCGCCGGGGCTCGGCCTCGTCCTGCTCCGAGCCCGGCTCGTCGCCCTCGTCGATGTCGAAGTCCGAGTCCACCTCGTCATCGCTGTCCGAGTGCTCGCCGCGGTACTCGTCATCCCCGGACTCCTGGGGGTGTGGGAATGGTGGGAATAATCAGGGAATGGGAACCAGGGAATCACACCCAGGGGTCACCGCGGGGCTCGTCATCCCTGGACTCCTGGGAACGAGGGAATTGGGGAATCAGGGAACCGAGCCCGGCTCGTCGCCCTCGTCGATGTCGAAGTCCGAGTCCACCTCGTCATCGCTGTCCGAGTGCTCGCCGCGGTACTCGTCATCCCCGGACTCCTGGGGGTGTGGGAATGGTGGGAATAATCAGGGAATGTTGGGATTGGGAACCAGGAAATCCCACCCAGGAACCCTGCGGGGCTCGTCATCGCCCGACTCCTGGGGGTGTGGGAATGGTGGGAATGTTGGGATTGGGAACCAGGGAATCACACCCAGGGATCCCCGCGGGGCTCGTCATCCCCGGACTCCTGGGGGTGTGGGAATGGTGGGAATAATCAGGGAATGGGAACCAGGGAATCACACCCAGGGGTCACCGCGGGGCTCGTCATCCCTGGACTCCTGGGAACGAGGGAATTGGGGAATCAGGGAATGGGAACCAGGAAATCCCACCCAGGGATCCCGCGGTACTCGTCATCCCCCGACTCCTGGGAGTGTGGGAATGGTGGGAATCAGGGAATGTTGGGAATGGGAACTATGGAATCACACCCAGGGATCCCCGTGGTACTCATCATCCCCGGACTCCTGGGAACACAGGAATGTTGGGAATGTTGGGGTTGGGAACCAGGAAATCCCACCCAGGGATCCCCGCGGGGCTCGTCATCCCCCGACTCCTGGGAACGAGGGAATCGGGGAGTGTTGGGAATGAGGGAATGTGGGGAGCCATGGGATCCCACCCAGGGATTCCCATCATCCCTCGACTCCTGGGAACACAGGAATGTTAGGAATGTTGGGATGGGGAGCCGTGGGATCCCACCCAAGGATCCCCACAGGGCTCGTTATCCCTGGATTCCGGGGGAAACAGGAACATTGGGAATATGGGAATATGAGATTGAGAGCCGTGGGATCCCACCGAGTCCCGGGATGGGGAATGTCGGGAATACGGGATGGGGGAGCAGGGAGCCCCACGGAGCGCTCCTCGCGGGGCTCGTCCCGAGTCGAACATTGGGAATATGAGATGGGGAGCCGTGGGATCCCACCGAGTCCCGGGATGGGGAATGCCGGGAATACGGGATGGGGGAGCAGGGAACCCCACGGAGTGCTCCTCGCGGGGCTCGTCCCCAGTCCCGGGAATGCCGGGAATGTCGGGAATGCCGGGAACGGGGGATCCCGCCCAGGGTCCCCCCGGACTCTTTGTCCCGGACCCCCGGGGGCACGGGGATGGATCCCCCGGTACCCGCTGTCCCGAACCCCGCGGGCCGGCTCACCCGGGGATCCCCGAACGCCCCCGTTCCCTGGATAACCGCACATCCCGGGAATGCCCCCGTGCCCGGACAGCCCCGCTCCCGGCCCCGCTCCCCTCACGCTCCCGGCCCCGCTCCCGGCCCCGCTCCCGCTCCCCTCCCGCTGCCGCTGCCGGCGCCGGGCCGGCGGGGCCGCTCGCCTCGTTGAAGCCGCCGTAGGTGGTCTGGTAGAACTCGTCCTCCTCCTCGGCCTGCAGCAGCCCCGAGAGCCGGTTCCCCGCCGTGCGCCGCGGGGCGCGGCCCTCCGCCAGGCTCATCTCGGCGCTCGGCCCGCCCGCCTGCCGGGCCGCCTGCCGGGAGCGCCGAGCGATCGATCGATGGGCGGGGGGAGGAGCCGCCGCGCGGGGACGGCGGGTGACGTCACCGGGAGTGACGTAATGCCGCTGGGTGACGTAATTGGGCGCGTGCGCGAGCTGTGACGTCATGTTACGGGGTGTGGGCACTCTGTGACGTCACGGGGTGTCAGAACAGGGTCGTGCCTCGGGAGCAGCGAGCCCCACGGAGCACTCCTCGCGGGGCTCGTCCCGAGTCCCGGGAATGCCGGGAATGCCGGGAATGCCGGGAATGCGGGATCCCGCCCAGGGTCCCCACGGACTCTTTGTCCCGGACCCCCGGGGGCACGGGGATGGATCCCCCGGTACCCGGTGTCCCGAACCGCGCGGGCCGGCTCACCCGGGGATCCCCGAACGCCCCCGTTCCCTGGATAACCGCACATCCCGGGAATGCCCCCGTGCCCGGACAGCCCCGCTCCCGGCCCCGCTCCCCTCACGCTCCCGGCCCCGCTCCCGGCCCCGCTCCCGCTCCCCTCCCGCTGCCGCTGCCGGCGCCGGGCCGGCGGGGCCGCTCGCCTCGTTGAAGCCGCCGTAGGTGGTCTGGTAGAACTCGTCCTCCTCCTCGGCCTGCAGCAGCCCCGAGAGCCGGTTCCCCGCCGTGCGCCGCGGGGCGCGGCCCTCCGCCAGGCTCATCTCGGCGCTCGGCCCGCCCGCCTGCCGGGCCGCCTGCCGGGAGCGCCGAGCGATCGATCGATGGGCGGGGGGAGGAGCCACCGCGCGGGGACGGCGGGTGACGTCACCGGGAGTGACGTAATGCCGCTGGGTGACGTAATTGGGCGCGTGCGCGAGCTGTGACGTCATGTTACGGGGTGTGGGCGCTCTGTGACGTCACGGGGTGTCAGAACAGGGTCGTGCCTCTGTGACGTCATAGACTAGCGACATCCATTCACAAGTTAGCAGTGTGACGTCACAAGATGGGTACGCGCGCTCTATGACGTCACAGGAGAGAACGCGTGTGCTCCCATGACGTCACTGACTGGGATGTGGTGCATGAGGATGACGTCATTTAACGGTGTGCTCGTTGTGACGTCACTCCGCCCCGCCCCCGCCCGTCACGTGACACCCGCGGCCGAATGCGATCGGGGGGAGGCGGGGCCTGTCCGGGCTGCGCATGCGCCGTGCGGGCCGGCCCGCGTGGCCCCCGCTGCCCCCATCGCCCGCGGCCGCGTGGGGCGCGCCGGGAGGGGCGGGGCCGCGCGCGGAAAGGGCGTGGTTTACCACAGAGCGGGGCGTGGCCACGCGTGATTGGTGGCGCTACGCATGGCGGGGGCGTGGTTTAGCCATGAGGGGGCGGGGCAGATGGGGAAGAGGCGTGGCTTAACTGAGAGAGGGTGGAGCCGCGTAGAGAAGAGGCGGGGCTAAACACCGAGTGGGCGTGTCTTTGCCCACATACGGAGTGTTACTTGGCGCTAGGGGCGTGGCTTACCCCGGGGGATTTGGAGCTTCCTGAGGGAGTTTTGGGGGGATTTGGAGCTTCCTGAGGGAGTTTTGGGGGGATTTGGAGCTTCCTGAGGGAATTTTGGGGCATTTGGAGCTTCCTGAGGGAGTTTTGGGGCATTTGGAGCTTCCTGGGGGTGTCTGAGGTGCCGTGGGGGGAGTCCGGACCCAACTTTTCCCTGGAAAATCCAAATCCCGAGCTTCCCTTTCCCTGCGAAACCCCTGGGAACGCACGGGGGGGGCACCTGAGAGGCCCGAAATTCCCAAAAAAATAATAAAAAGCCAAAAGCAGTGGGCGCGGGGAGGGAGAAGCGTGTGGGTGCCAGGGAAATCCGACTCCGTGACTCACGGGGGCGGGAGCGGCTCCGGGATCCCGGAATCCCAGAAAGATCCCAAAACCAGCACGGGGATTGTCTGCTCAGCGGGGCTGGGGCCAGGGAAAGGGCTGGAAAACCGGGAACGCGCCGCCTCCCGGGCTCTTTTTGGGATAAAAACCCCAATTTTTGGCTTTCGGAGCCGGCGTTTTCGCTTTTCCTGGCTTTTCCTCAGCCTGGCAGAACTGCTGGGAGAATCCAGCCCTTTATCCTGCTTTTTTTCAGCTCCAAGTCACCTTTTCCACCTGGAATTTTGGGCTCAGGTCCGTAAGGATTCCAGCTGGGAAGGAGTTCCTTGCTCCTCGCTTTTCCCTGGAAGGATTTAAGGGCTGATTCCCGATTTTCTGACTCTTTATCCATGTTTTTGTTTTGGAATTTGGAGCCAGAAACCCCGGGGGAGCAGCGTGTGTGGGTGGGATAATTCAGTTTTTTGGTTTTGTAGGATTTTCCCCTGTTTTCGTGGGATTTTTCCTCTTTTCCTGGGGTTGATCCTCTCTGAGCGTGGCTTTTCCTTTCTTTTGGCAGGATCCAACACCTTCAAAAAGTCCCTGACTCCTGAGGTGAGTTCCAGGCTGGAAAAATCCCAAATTTCAGCTTTTCCTGCTCCTTTTTCTCCTTCTCCTGCTCTTCTTCCAAGCCTGCCTTGACCCTGAGCAGCTCCTCCCGTGGGAATTTTGGGAATTTACACTTCCCAAGGGAATTCCTGCTCCAAACCCCAAATCTATCCTGGCACCACCCCCAAAATCCCTGGACAAATTCAATTTAACAACTCCTGGATGAATCCTGGGGTCCTTGGGCTGGGAATCACCAGACTGGGATTTGCACCTTTCCCAAAATTCCTCCTAGAACATTGGAATTCCCATGGGAAAAACCCGGCCCAGCTTTCCATGGATTCCAGGTGGTTTTGGGTGGGAAAAAATCCTGTAAAAAATTGAATTTTCCAACTTTTTTCTTCTTTTCCCCTTTTTTTATTTCCCAAGATGCCAGGAGGATCCCAAACCATCAGGAAAGGCCACAGAGGAGTGGATTCCACAGGAGAAACCACCTACAAAAAGGTAAATTCCCACTTTTTTTTCCCTTTTTGCAAGGAATTCTGCCCGGGATTGCTGTGGGAATGGGAGAAGATTCCATGGAAATGAAGGAAAAGGGAATTTTTTGGGGGGCTTTTTTCCGATTTCAATTCTCATCCACTTCCCATTCCCGCTGGATTTCTATTTTCATTGAATTCTTCTAATTCCTGTGGAATTCTTGCAATTCCCATTGAGTTCCATCTCTTCCCATTGAATCTCTCCCCTTCCCACTGAGTTCCCATTCCCACTGAATTCCCATTGAACCCCCGTCACCTTTCCCACCAAGTCCCTCCCATTCCCACTGTGCTCCAGCCATTCCCAGCCCCGTCCCGTTCCATCCCGTGTCCCAGACCCTGTCCTGTCCCCAGTGTCCCTGTGGCCCTGTGACCCGTGCTCTCTGTCCCAGACCCCATCCCATCCCTGATGTTCCCATTCCCATTCCTTTCCCCGTTCCTGTTCCCCCATGACCCGTTACCTGTTCCCGTTCCCCCCAACCCTTGTCCCGTGTCCCAGACCTTCTCCTGTCCCGTGTCCCATTCCCCCCTGACCCGTGTCCCGTGTCCCAGCCCCTCTCCTGTCCCTGTTCCCGTTCCCCCCAACCCTTGTCCCGTGTCCCAGACCTTCTCCTGTCCCGTGTCCCATTCCCCCCTGACCCGTGTCCCGTGTCCCAGCCCCTCTCCTGTCCCTGATGTTCCCGTTCCCATTCCTGCCCCCCTGACCCGTGTCCCCTGTCCCAGACCACGTCGTCGGCGCTGAAGGGTGCCATCCAGCTGGGCATCACGCACACCGTGGGCAGCCTGAGCACCAAGCCCGAGCGCGACGTGCTCATGCAGGACTTCTACGTGGTGGAGAGCATCTTCTTCCCCAGGTCAGCGCTCCCCGCGCCCTCCGGGGGCCGCGTTCCCGGGTAGCCCGGTCCCATTCCGGAACGTTCCGTGTCCCCGCAGCGAGGGCAGCAACCTGACCCCCGCCCACCACTACAACGACTTCCGCTTCAAGACCTACGCGCCCGTGGCCTTCCGCTACTTCCGGGAGCTCTTCGGGATCCGCCCCGACGACTACCTGGTCAGCTGGGAGCCTCTCCTTCCCTTGCCTTTGCCTTCCCGGGACTCCTTGGGATTCCCTTTGCCTTCCCTGGACTCCCTGGGATTCCCTTTGCCTTCCCGGAACTCCCTGCAATTCCCTTTGCCTTCCCTGAACGCCCTGGGATTCCCTGGAATTGCCTTTTCCCTTTCCCTTTTGTGTTTCCTGGATTTCCCTTTTCCCTTTGCCTCCCCTGGAACTCCCTGCAATTCCCTTTGCCTTCCCTGCAATTCCCTTTGCCTTGCCTGAACGCCCTGGGATTCCCTTTGCCTCCCCTGGAACTCCCTTTGCCTTCCCTGGAATTGCCTTTTCCCTTTCCCTTTTGTGTTTCCTGGATTTCCCTTTTCCCTTTCCTGGACTTCCCTTTTTCCCTTTCCTTTTTTGCTTTTTTCCTTTCTCTTTTCCCCTTTCCCTATTCCTTGCTTGGAATTCCCTAGAATTCCCTGTTCCCTTTCCCTTCCCTGGAATTCCCTTTTCCCTTTCCCTTTTCCCTTTCCCTTTTCCCTTTCCCTTTTCCCTTTCCTTTTTCCCTTTCCTGGATTCCCCTTTTCCCTTTCCTGAACTTCCCTTTCCCCCTTTCTCTTTTTGCTTTTCTCCTTTCTCTTTTCACCTTTCCCTTTTCCCTTTTCGTTGACTGGAATTCCCTGGAATTCCTTTTTCCCTTTTCCTTCCCTGGCGCTCCTTTTTCCCTTTCCCTTTTATGTTTTTCCTTCCCTGGACTTCCCTTTTTCCTTGGCAATCCCCAATTCCCAGTCCCACGTGTCGCGTGTCCCGCAGTACTCGCTGTGCAGCGAGCCCCTCATCGAGCTCTCCAACTCGGGCGCCAGCGGCTCGCTCTTCTACGTGTCCAGCGACGACGAGTTCATCATCAAAACCGTGCAGCACAAGGAGGCCGAGTTCCTGCAGAAGCTCCTGCCCGGCTACTACATGGTGAGAGCGCCGGCATCCCGGCCATTCCTGGGAATTCCGGCCCTGGAGAGCCCTCCCCTGGCTGCGAGCCCTTCCCAAGCCCTGAACGCCGTGGAAAACACCAAAAAAATCCGTGGAAAACCCCAACAATCCAAACAAAACCCCCAAGCCAGGAGGATTTGGATGTTCTTCCCGTGTTGTATCTGCAATTTTCAATCGTTTCCAGCTCCAAAACCCCAAAAATCCATGGGAATCCCCAGAGCCAGAGGGATTTGATGCTCTTTCCACGTTTTCCCTGCGAATTTGATGCATTCCCAACCCCAAAACCCCAAAAATCAATGGAAAAGCCCCTACAATCCATACCAAACCCCCAAACCAGAGGGATTTGATGCTCTTCCTGCATTTCATGTGCGATTTTGATGCATCCCCATCCCTAGAACCCTAAAAATCCATTTAAAAACCCCAAAATCCATACCAAACCCCCAAACCAGAGGGATTTGATATTGTTCCCACATTTTCCCTGCGATTTTGATGCATCCTCAACCCCAAAACCCAAAAAATCCATGGAAAGCCCCAGAACCAGAGGGATTTGATGCTTTCCCCATGTTTTACTTGCAATTTTGATGCCTCCCCAACCCCAAAACCCCCAGAACCAGAGGGATTTGATGCTTTCCCCATGTTTTACTTGCAATTTTGATGCATCCCCAACCCCAAAACCCCAAAAATCCATGGAAAACCCCCAAAATCCATGGAAAACCCCCAAAATCCATACCAAACCCCCAAACCAGAGGGATCTGATGCTCTTGCTGCATTTTATGTGCGATTTTGACGCATCCCCAACCCCAAAACCCCCAAACCAGAGGGATTTGATGCTCTTGCTGCATTTTATGTGCGATTTTGGTGCATCCCCAACCCCAAAACCCCAAAAATCCATGGAAAACCCCCAAAATCCATGGAAAACCCCCAAAATCCATACCAATCCTTGCAATTTTGATGCATCCCCAACCCCAAAACCCCAAAAATCCATGGAAAACCCCCAAAATCCATGGAAAACCCCCAAAATCCATACCAAACCCCCAAACCAGAGGGATTTGATGCTCTTGCTGCATTTTATGTGCGATTTTGACGCATCCCCAACCCCCAAACCCCCAAACCAGAGGGATTTGACACATTTCATTTCCAATTTCGACTCACCCCCCCACCCAACCCCCCCGTATCTGTTTTTTGCTGTTTTATTGGGGGAAATCAGGAGTGTTCTGTGCTTTTTCCTGGTTTTTGGTGGAAAGTCAGGAGTGTTCTCTGTTTTTTGCTGTTTTATTGGGGGAAATCAGGAGTGTTCTGTGCTTCTTCCCGGTTTTTTGGTAGAAATCAGGGGTGTTCTGTGTTTCTTCCCGGTTTTTGGTGGAAAGTCAGGAGTGTTCTGTGCTTTTTCCTGGTTTTTTGGTAGAAATCAGGGGTGTTCTGTGCTGCTTCCTGGTTTTTATGGGAAAATCAGGAGTGTTCTGTGCTTCTTCCTGGTTTTTTGGTAGAAATCAGGGGTGTTCTGTGCTTCTTCCTGGTTTTTTGGTAGAAATCAGGGGTGTTCTGTGCTTCTTCCTGGTTTTTTGGTAGAAATCAGGGGTGTTCTGTGCTTTTTGCTGGTTTTTGGGGGAATCAGATGTGTTCTCTGCTTTTTCCTGTTTTTTTGGGGGAAATCAGGGGTGCTCTATGCTTTTTCCTGGTTTTTTTTTGGGAAGTCGGGGCTGTTCTGTGCTTTTCTTCTGGGTTTTTTTTGAAAATCGGGGGTGTTCTGGCCTTTGAGGGTAAAATTGCGGTTTTTCTGTGCATTTTCCTATATTTGGGGGGGAAATCAGGGGTGTTCTGTGTTTTTCATGGGTTTTTGGTGGGAAAACTGGGGGTGTTTTGTGTTTTTTCCTGTTTGTGAGGAAAACTGGTGGTGTTCTGCCTTTTTTCCTGTTTTTTGGGGGTAGATTTGTGCTGTTCTATGCTTTTTCATGGGTTTTGGGGGAAACCAGGGGTGTTCTGTGCTTTTTCCTGTTTTTTGTGGGGACGTTTGTGCTGCTTGTTCCTGCCTTCCCCGTGTTCCCGGGGTTCTCTACAGAACACGTTTCTGTAAATCCCAGACCCCGCTCCAGCCCCGTTCCCGCCCGTTTCCAGCGGGGTGCCGCTCCCCAGCTCCCGTTTCTTGGCCCGGGCAGGTGCTGCAGAGTTTCAAGATCATGGACTACAGCCTGCTGGTGGCCATCCACAGCCTGGACCAGGCGCAGCGCGAGCGCGCGGCCGCCGGCGGCCCCGGGGAGCGCGAGCGCGACGGCGACGGGCGCGGGCGGCCCGCGGCACAGCGAGCGCTCTACTCCACGGCCATGGAGTCCATCCAGGGGGAGGCGCGCAGAGGGGGCACCATCGAGACTGATGACCAGTGAGATGGGCTGGGGATCACTGGGGATCACTGGGAATCACTGGGATTGACTGGGAGTCACTGGGGTTTATTGGGATGGACTGGGATGGGCAGGGAGCGCTCTACTCCACGGCCATGGAGTCCATCCAGGGAGAGGGGGCACCATTGAGAGTGATGACCAGTGAGATGGGCTGGGGATCACTGGGGTTTACTGGGAATCACTGGGGTTTACTGGGATGGACTGGGATGGACTGGGAATGCTCTACTCCACGGCCATGGAGTCCATCCAGGGGGAGGCGCGCAGAGGGGGCACCATCGAGACTGATGACCAGTGAGATGGGCTGGGGTCACTGGGGATCACTGGGATTGACTGGGAGTCACTGGGGTTTATTGGGATGGACTGGGATGGGCAGGGAGCGCTCTACTCCACGGCCATGGAGTCCATCCAGGGAGAGGGGGCACCATTGAGAGTGATGACCAGTGAGATGGGCTGGGGATCACTGGGGTTTACTGGGAATCACTGGGGTTTACTGGGATGGACTGGGATGGACTGGGAAT